AACACACAACTTACTCAGGGTGTTGAGTTTGAAATCAGAAAGAGGTGGAAGAAGTACTCAGCTCTTGTGTAGGAATTCATAATGTTACTCAAGTAAAAGTAGAAAAGTATTATCATCAAAATATAGTTAAAGTACCAAAAGTAAAAGTAGTTATTGTGCAGATTGGTCCATTTCAGAATAATATATATGATATGTTTTATAATTATTGAATCATTAAGTGTTATCAAAAAGCTGGCAAAGGTGCTGCTAGTTTTAATGACTTTGTATACTGCAGGGTAGCTTCTGAATTTACTCCAGGTGTAACTAAAGTCTGATGTAAGACTTGATTATATTTTACATCATTAATCCAAATCTGTAAAGTAACTAAAGGTATTAAATAAATATAGTGGAGTAAAAGTACACCATTTACCTCTGAACTGTAGTGGAGTAGAAGTACAAAGTAGCATCAAATAGAAATACCCAAGTAAAGTACAAGAATCTCAAAATTGTACCTAAGTACAGTACTTGAATAACTGTACTTAGTTACTTCCCACATCTGAAATTAGATATGATTTCAAGTCATGTGATCATTTCTTAGTATTTGATCCTTCAACTTGGCCTCAGGAAATGCAAGGACTTCACATTTTTGGCAACAAGTTTTGGAGAAAGCAAATCGGAGGCTTAAACAGGGACAGGGAGGTGCATCTGCAGCATCTTCATCATCTACCATGCAAGAAGAGGACAGTGAAGGAGACACTGAGGAGGACAGTGAGGAAGACTGCACTTATTAACACCACGCTTTGTGTGGGGTGAGTACCTAACGCTGTCTCCTGGTACTCATCTGAGTAACTCACTAAAAAAGTGATGTGTACATTGTATTTTCAGTTCTGTGTTGTGACCTGTGACGTAGGGAAGGACATTTCATCCAAAAATCAGATTAGCTGTTTCTTTACAAATAATTTATGATGCTCACAAACAGAATGTATTCGAGCCAAGCTTCAGATAGCATCAGACCCTGAACTGAACTCTCAGTCCAGCTCTGGCTCAGCCCCACAGCAGCTCTTTCCCCAGCAGCAGAGCCTGTAACGGGACACTGCTAACGATGCTGAGGGCACTCAGTGCAGTCATGGCCTGTTGCACCTGACTCGCTCCTCGCTGCACACGGTACACTTGCCTGTTGTTAGTTTGTCTTCCACAGGCTAATTTATGACACTATCAGACTTATCGGCTGCTACTGCACGCCCTCATGCTAAAACTAATTACTTAAACTAATTACGTATTGAGCCTATATTACTTTGTAATATTGTGTTCCTTTATTGTTGATGTATAATACAGCAGAAGAGGTTGGGGCACACAGGAACTACACCCTGCTGCTGCTGCTTGCTAATGCTTCATCCTCAACTTATACTCAAGCATACAAATGAGCTCACAGTAAGTATGATGACTTTTTGGCTAGCATGAGAGTGTTTGCATGTGTTACTAGATCTTTAGACCCAAGCATGGCTCCTTCATTTGGATTCCTTATTTGCAAATGTTGGGAGTGGCTCAGCACATGTTTACTTGACATTCAGTGTGTGTGTGTGTGTGTGTGTGTGTGTGTGTGTGTGTGTGTGTGTGTGTGTGTGTGTGTGTGTGTGTGTGTGTGTGTGTGTGTGTGTGTGTGTGTGTGTGTGTGTGTGTGTGTGTGTGTGTGTGTGTGTGTGTGTGTGTGTGTGTGTGTGTGTGTGTGTGTGTGTGTGTGTGTGTGTGTGTGTGTGTGTGTTTGCATGTTTATGTGTCTAAATCTATGCTTTACCCTCACCCTGCTTGGGTTCTATTCTCACCTTCTCACCATCATCCATCAAATGTAAGTTTATATGAATATTGAAATATTTCTTTTTCATTTGGTAGACAGCGGTGTTGCTTATTTTAATTTTAAGCTGTGTTACTATTTTCTGCTGAGTAGTTATGAGACTCCTATTCAGGTTTTCCCATTGAGATTCGTTAAACAGTGTTTCTTACATATCCTAGACCTTAGTCCTCAAAATATTGTTCTCTTATTGTGAATGTTGTATAATTACTTTATTTACTTTTATTATGTTAGCAAAATTCAAGAACCAAACCATAGACATAATTTTTTCTGCTTTATGTAGCATTGTGATCCGAAACCCCATACTTGAATCTTAGCAGTATATCTTATATTTACTCAATTGCTGTACTTAAGTACAAATACGAGTACATTTTACTTTCCATTTTATGCTACTACACCACTACATCTCAGATGGAAATATTGTACTTTTTACTCCTATTTGTCTGCAAGCTTTGGTTACTTTACAGATAAGATTTTTCATTGCCTCTCTGTCCACTGTAAACCAATATCTCCAGATTTGGTGATATGTTTGTGATAAACTGAACAATATTATACTTTTCAGAAATGTTACTCCTTAAGCCTTAAGCCAAATATACAATTTGGATTAGCTGGCAAATGCATTGTCACAAAACTGAAGAGAAAGTGGAGTTTTTAGGGAAACATGGTTCTCCCTGAACAGCAATGCCACGTTTATAATGGTCTTGTACATTATGATGCATTTTATGTTATTCTAACCAACAGTATTAGTTCATATAAGCACAACCTTAAACCACATATTATTGCAGCAGTAATAATAATCAACACCCATGATTGTGAAACACTGGACATTTTTTACTGCACAATATATTACTTTTGAGAACTTTTAAGTAATTTTTTTTATAAAACTGACATACTTTTCCTTTCACTAAGTAATTGTGAAGTATTTTTACATTGTGGTATCAGTATTTTTTTTTAAATAAGAATCTGAATACTTCTTTAATCACTTGCACTTGCATAAATACTACTGTCTCCAACCAGCTACATTATCTTTGACTTGTTCACTGGCAGTATTGTTGTGCCAAGGTTAAGCCGAAACTTTAACCCACTCATCAGCGTTGCGGATTAGTCCACGCCGGTGTCCGCTTTTACCAAATGCATCTTCAGTTTCTTTTAGGAGCTTCAAGTGACCAAAAGTCCACTTACACATCGCTCAGATCAGAGAGTACATTTCCACTTAGGACTTTTAAGATGTAATTTGGTTTTCAATTAGATTTTTTTCAAATGTTATAACCTTCTTTCTTTCTATAAAAACACAGTAATACAGTAATGCTCAGTTATACCTGTGCAGTCCATGATTTGTGCACTTCAAAGACTCTGGTTAATGCCAGTAAACATCTAACTAAAAGTGACAAGCAGCCAGTGTTTCAGGGCGAACAAGGTTGGATAACCCCACACACACACAGACACACACAGTCTCCTGTAAGGGCTCATTTCCCTGCAGCTCCTGTTGGAGGTGTCCAATGTGAGTCCTACAGTTTCACCCTCCTTTCTCATGTGTCAAAGCACGTTGTCACTTATAGAAGCACTTATGTTTTATTGAAGTTATCTGCAGGTTTGCACTGGAGTGCAATTACCTAAACATGCATTCACATGTACAGGAGTCTAATTGCTGTGCATAGGTGATGACTGATAATATCACTGCAAAATCATGACTATGTGCCAGCTTTACGTTTCCCTGGAGTGATTTATGATCATTTACTAATTTATTCATAATAATTATAATATTTAGATTAGATAAAATTACTGTTGAGAGGTGAGTTAAGAGGCAATTTCCCTTAACACAAATAAAGTGACCACTGATAATAATAGGAGTAGTTGCCCACTGCAGCACTGTTTGTGCTTAGGTCTTCTAACCAGCTTTGTGTATGAATGGGCGTCTATATGGGGAAAGGCTCACGGTGCTACAGTGGCTAATTCCTGCTAATCCCGCTGTATCTCATACCACTTAGAGATGGTTTCCAATGGCAGCCCTGGAGCGGGGGAATTGCTGGTGAGATTAGCTGGCGTTAGCTCACGTTAGCTCCTCCTCTGTGGTTTACACTCACCGCCAGGCCAGGCTGGCCCACCACCGCTCCAAGCTAACCTTTTGCACAGAAATGGATTAACTGTTTATTCAAAAATGTTTCAAGTCTTATTAAGAAAACAATGTAAGTTTGTTTGGATTTACTCTGCTGTCAGTATGTTTTTTAGTAGTAGTAGTTTAGTAGATTCAATGTTTAATGCACAATTGAGAGGGCAGCAACAGGCACCCTTCTCTTGAAGGATTGTTAAGCAGTGTGTTTGTGGAGGATTTAGTGTTGCTTTCCTTAACATTATGAGTTTTTTGGCTCTGACTAACTTTCCTTTGGACATCTTCATGCAATCTACATTTTTTTTTTTTTTTCACTGCATTTAATAACCTTGATAATGTGTGTGTGTTTTTATCCTAGTTGGATATATGTTATTATAGTTTAAATTACACTTTTCTAACTATGAAATACTGTAGTAATGATAGAGTGATATCAGTGGCTATCATAGAAACTGAGGTCAGTTACACATTTTTAAAGTTGACATAATACTAAGGAGTAAAATGAAGTTGAATACATGTTTATTATACGTATGCCCACTTATGTCCAGAGTTTTGATTTAACCTTGTTGCGTCATGCAGCTAAATGGAAACCTCCAAGAATTAACCCTCAATCTGCCACTGGATTATCCTGTAGTGAAAAGGTCCTCCAGTTCAATTCCCAAACAAACCAGTATGACATCACTTTCAACAGTCAACAAGACACAAGTAAACAAGACACTTATCTGGTAACACTTTTGTACAAAATCATTTCACACAAAAAAATGCATTGAGTATTGTATTTGATCTTAAGAAAGGTAATATGTCTGTTTTTAAGAGACACTCCTCAGACAAATAACCGTTTCATGTGTGATAATCCAATGATTATCACGCAACAACACACCAATGTGTGTTGTTCAAAATGTATTCTATATACTGACTATATGCATAATGGCCTTTAAATCTCCTTCAGTGGAACTCTTAAAGAACAAAGCACATCTGCAGGTTTTATACAAGTTGCCACTTTCCTCTCTTGCAACACTCAGTGATCCTTGTGTGTTTTTCTTTCATAGGAGAAATCTCCAGAAGATGTTTCCACAATCAGGGAAATCGATTGTGTTCGACAACTTTCCAGATCCTACTGACGCCTGGGACATCATCGAGACAATCGGGAAAGGGACTTATGGAAAAGTCTACAAGGTGCTCAACAAACTTGATGGAAGTAAAGCGGCTGTAAAGATACTGGATCCCATCCATGTAAGTTGACTTTGTTATCTGGTACAGGAGTGTATTTCAATTTAAATGGCATATGTTATACTTCTTCTATTAGTGTTAACACTCCTTATACACTTGTATACCTGGAAAAACATTATATGCAGGGGTAGACATTTTATTGTCACATGCCCCACCATTGTCACCACTGGCCCAAGAGCATTCGTCCAAAAAATCGACTAATAATGAAGAAAATTAACACATTTGTTGCAATAGTAATTTATGCACAAACTACATTACTACTTGTACTACAACATTTTAATCATCAGTTCTTCCTCATTTTCCTCAATTGTTCATATTTGGTTTATTAAAGGTCCGTGTCATGGCCATTTCTACTGATCATAATTCCATTGTTGAGGTCTACTAGAATAGATTTATATTGTGCAATTTTCCAAACTCACATTGGTTTCTCATACAGCATCTCTGTATAGTATGTGTATTCACTCTCTGTCCTAAACGGCTTGTTGGAACTCCTGCCCCCCCCCTCCCTGTGAGCCCACTGTGCTCTGATTGGTCAGCTCGCCCACTCTGTTCTGATGAGTCTACCACCGTTACAGCGGAACATCAGTGATTGCTGCGTGGGATCTGCGAGACAGTGAGACATCGCGAATGAACGCAGCGAGGCTCCCCCCGCCCTCCCGTAGACAGTTCACGAGCTCAGTCACTTCATAACACCAAAGATGGATCGCGGTAAACGCTCTAAAGTGAGGCTCCACTACACTAAAAAAGGAAAAGACAAGGCACAGTATAATGCCTGTTAATAGCTTGCCACAGGCATAGCTCAGTTAAAGTAAAGCACAGCTATTGTGCAATACATTTGTATTGCATGTATATTTTTTATTTGTAAAAATGTCAGTTAAAGCTTAAAAGAATAAAGATATTTTTGTTATCTAAACGTTTGACCTCTTTCTTTTACAATTTTGGAATCAAAACGGGGAATCGATAAGAACCGGAATCGATAAGCAGAACCGGAATCGGAATCGGAATCGGAATCGATACATTTCAAACGATACCCATCCCTACATGGGACCTTTAAAATAATTATATTGTGGTCATTGTTAAAAAATGTCTGCTATTATCATTATTATGAGTATTATTATTTGTATAATGCGCTTTCTGCCTTCCTGTCATTAGGAGTTAGACATGTAATGGCTATATAATAGCCTAGATTAGAACCTTCATTATCCCTGCTGGGACATTTCCCTACAGCGAATACCTTTATATTTTCTACTCTTCACTTACTTGTCAGCATAGGTCGGCATTGATGTACAGAGCTTGTTTATATTGGCATCATATTGAAGCCAACTCCATCGATCAAGCCAGTGTGGCTGAAACTTTCTCTCCCTCTTCTTCTCATACTCCCTGTCACTCTCCTTTAACTCCTCCGGTGACATTCTTTTATTTGAAGATTGTTTTTTGCCCGGCGCTTGGCCGGTTACCGCTGGTATTAAAAACATTTTGGCGAATGGTTAGGTGGCGAGAAAGTCTGTAGTGAAGGAGCGCGCTCCCGCGCACGGGAGCCTGCTTGCGCTGCGCTCTGCAGCAAACAGCTGTTTGCTTTTCACCCAACATCGACAACCGCCTCATGAAACGCTATGTTGTAGCATTAATAAACGAAACAATTTAACAAAATTGCTTGTCAAAATACCAATACCACAGGACACATTTTTTTTTTTAAAGCAATATTTGTAGTGGCCCGAGCGGGCAAGTGGAAAATACGTTATGCTGGCCTGGGGTGTCTAAATAGTGCTTCCGGGCCAGCGGGCCATTTATAATGTCGAGCCCTGATATGTATTTGTATATACTGCACATTATATAAAGTATTTATGCTACACCATGTAAAAACATCACTCTTAAGTGATATGGATATGACAGTTCCAGAAGATATGATTAAACACATTTGTTTTTTAAGTTTAATTTAATCTTTGTGAGTTCTCTTCCTTTTTTATTTCTTGGCTACAGTTCAAAACAAGACATGACAATAATATTTGCAAACCATTTCAAGAGTTTGTGTTACATTACATAGTAATTATATAATAGCAAAAGCAGTTAAGAACTGACCCATCCTTACAAAAATGATTTCAGAATGAGGAGTTTAATAGGAAGAATATGTGTATAAAGTTCTGGAAAGTATTTGGACAGATCTCTTGTAAATCTGACACATCGCAGTCACTGACTCATTAGTAGATTTAAGTCATGGTGCTCTGCTCTGTTCTCTGCAGAGGGCGTTAAGAAAAGGAGGTTTCTTCCATCTACAATCATTATCTCAGCAAATTGCCTCTGACTAATTCTTGGATTTATCATTGCAGGGCTCCTCTTGCTTGTGCAGAGTTTTTAGAACTGAGCCAAAACCCATTTGGCACCCATGCATAAGTGTGTGAAGCAAATATGGCCCAAAGCAAGAACAATTTGACACAGAGCAGATAAACACGATGTTGCTTCTGACATCCAAGAAGCAGAAAAGATTTACGAATTACAGAACATTACTGCGCAAGAGGTACTAACTACAATTAAGAAAGGTTACTATTTTTAGATAAAGAAACATTAGTGTTGACTTTCATACTTCATATTTCCTTGATGTCATAGTGCATAGCCATCATTTACCTCTGTTTATTTTGATGGTACAGTGAACTGTATGGCTGAAACAGCAGCTCTAATGAGCAGCCATTTTCTATTAATTCCTGCCTTCATGCTTATGAAAGTCCCATTAGTCTTTTGTACATTTGTTACTCTTTCTCATTATTGAGAAATGATTATCCTCAGACCACTAGACTGTGAGCACCATCATTACCATCGTTTTAATCACTTGGTTGAGTATTAGACCTATTACTTTCATTACAAGTACAGTGGAAAGTCCCCTTATGTGCTACAGTATGCTGAGGTTCAGGTTATAGCATTTCAGGAGAATAATTTGTTTCTTTTTGGTGCACAGAGGCACTATATAATCATTTTTGCTACAGCTACTCTGAGGGGTTATGAGAGGGAATCAAAACCATATTTCTTTTACACAAAACCTTTTCTTGTATTCGTTTTTTCCTCTAACACTTTTTTCTCCTTGAAAAATACTGGATAGTTTTTATCTTTCTGGTGTCTTAAGAAGGAACAATCTGTTTCATTTACCTTTGTATGACTCGCTGCTTTGTTTTGGGTGGATTGGAAAAACTGCAGTGGAGTATTAGTCATAAATAATATGTCATATGTAATTTGTCATGTTATTTTTGTATTTGATCCTGATTTCAACTTATATAAATTGCGAAAAACTGTATAATATTGTGTTATATTTGCATAATATACAATTATTGAACAATTACAACTGCACAGTCAAAGGTAACACTGAATTATTTGTGTCTATGGTTAACCTAGTTTTGAATACGTTTAATTTCCATGTACAATACCCCTGTCTCGTTAGAATTAATCACACTGTATGGCTGCAAATTACAGTAAAAGAGTATCCCATAATTTATGTATTTATGAACTCCTGGATTTGCCCCTTTCACACACATTCAATTCAAGAGTCAGTGGTAGAGACTTCACTAGTTGTCCTAAAGAACAGCAACAGTTCTAAAGTGATTATTCACTTGTTTCGCTAGAGTTAGAAAACAAGATCAATAACTCTGTTACAGCTGAATTTCCCCAAGGTGATGAATAAAATACCTTCTCTTCTCTAAAAACGTTTTATGAAGCTAAATCCAGGTGACGCTTACTGTAGCTTAGCATCCAGGCTGTAACCAGCGGAGAACCTTTAGTTTTTAAAACACAATATAACATAAGGATTAGTGAGCTTTATAAATGAAGTATCCTTTTACAATACCTTTGGTCAGAGCCATGTCTTCAGTCTTAATGATATGTAAAGATAACCTTTCTCTTGGCTTAAGCTTAGTTTACAGTATAGGCATGGGAGTGGTTTCAATTTCGTTAATATAGAATGCTAAAGTCACCATCACTAGATATTTTTGTCATTTTTATCCTCATATCTATTTGAGTAAAAAGTGTTACAAAAAGGGAAAAAATGGTTGGTAAACATGAGAAATGTGTTATGTTAACTGATCTGTGTCCCTGTTTTTCAGGATATTGATGAGGAAATCGAGGCAGAGTACAACATCCTCAAAGCTCTTTCTGACCACACCAATGTTGTCAAATTCTACGGGATGTACTACAAGAAGGATGTGAAATGTGGAGACCAGTTGTGGCTAGTACTGGAGGTAGGAACACTTATTGTATTTAAAACCACCATATGTTTGCAAACCATATTGATTGAATCCTTTGTGCTGGGGTGAGCTGTTTAGTTTTGGTATTATAAAACCCATGATAATTATGCCATTGTTGCTTACTTTGGTACAAACCCCCTTCAGCAGTGGCACAGGAGTTTGTCTTGAGTATTAAAGAGATATTGCAATTATTTACTGACAAATCAATTGTAAACTCACTGCACTAAAACGTTCCCAGGTAAAACATTACCATACTCACTGTACACTTAATATTGATACGTAACGCCAATAGCGCTGCTCCCTGACAGGGCGAGATGCTTCGTTTAAATGATTTCACCTAATGATATTGGATCCTTGCTGGCATCATATGGATCATCTCTATCTTTTCTTTCTCGATGGGAGTTAAAAACTACAAAAATAATTGTGTAAATTAAAAATTGTTAAAATAAATAACTAATCGTACCAAAGGCAATGCTACGAAGCAGATCCATCTTGTGGGTATTGATTTGATGTAAAGCGTCTTCGAAAATTAGGAAAAGCGCTATAAAAATCCCATGTATTATTATTATATTATTTTTAAATTTCACAATCAAATAAATAAATAAAATCTATATGAATCCATGATGAAGTTTAAATGATTCATATTTTTTATTATATAAGTACCAGTTTATATAGCTTATGCGTCTTAACCCTGCATAACCGAATGCAACATCATATTTATGATATTCACGCTGTCAAGCTTGGCTTGCAATCGTCTGCTACAAAAACAGAATCAGAGCGGCAGGAAAAACGCCCCGCTGACGACCAAGTTCAGTATTTGAGCCATGTTGAGAGGTTTTTGTGGATTTTTTGTCCAATGACAGCAAAAATAACTCACTACCTACCTAGCCTCACGTGCTTTAAATACCATTCACCTGTATAATGTGGCTGCACCGTGCAGACACAATGCATACGTGCAGATTAAAGGTCTGGTTGTACATCTCAACCTATGTCTGGCCAGGTATATGCAGTGGTGACCAATCTGCCCAGGGATTATGTAACAGTATAAGCCACCCGGGTAGTCTAGGAGTTTACTTATAGGCCACCTCAGGGATTTGGATGTAGGCCAACAACATGGATATGTTGGGGGTGGAGGTGAGCACCCTGCTGAGAGCAGCAGAGCAGGGATTTCTGTTTACAGGCGCTGTCGCAGTGCATTACTCTATACACGCACTGCAGCAGGTTGGAGCACAGGCCCATGTGTCCTGTGGCTGATTTCAGTTTTTGGGGATTTTAGGTAGAAAATGCTAAAATGGTGGAAAGTATTCAAACATTTTTGAGGTTGTTGGTGCACTAACATGTAAACTACCTTAGCTAAATTGGCAACTGATTAGAGAAAATAACGATTTTGAACAAAAGCCTTACTGCATTTAACAAGAATCTGCTTTCTTGCACCTACTGTTGTGCAGCAATGGCTAGATGTAGGTATGAATTTGTGAAAGTTCAAGCGGACCTTCCTGATCTTTCTTTACATCTTAAAACCCCTGCAGCTCCCCAGTTCTGGGTCTTTCATATTTCATTGCCTGCTGTAGCCTTTTTAAAATGTCAACCTCCAGACAAACATGTAATGGAGGTCAACCTCAGAGAGGTGGTTGTGGGGTCTAACACTTTGGCGGATTCGGGGTGTTTCATTGAATTTCTGAGCATGTCATTTCTGTTCCTGCTTTGATAGAGAGCAGTACAAACCTTGATACATCTGATAAACATGTCAGCAAACTTGAGCGTTGATAATAATAACTAATGCTGCTGAAGTGTAGAAGTTAATGTATTTTGCTGTCTTTATAGTTGTGATTTTGAATGTGACGTTGCATTTTTTTAGTAACGCTTTCTAATAAGTCCAATAGCTATTGCCATTAAATATTTTACAGATAATCATGATCCCCAGAGGATGAATCCCAATACCTTTTGTTACTTTTCTCTTTAGTGCAAAATAAGATGATCAGAATGTTGTAGTGCTATTTACAAGAATGCTAATATGCGTCAAACTATGTTAAAATAATAAATACAACAAGTATTTGCAAACGTTTAAATGTTGCACATGGCATTATTGTGATGACAGCCATGCCTAAGTATTGAATTTACATTTCCACCATTGCTTCGGATTTTGCTAACATTTAGTTGTTTTGAGAAGTAATAATAAAAAAAGACCACATTTCTTTCCCAAACCTTATCCCTCTATAGCAGAAACTCATTTGACAGAATACCAACACATGTAAAAACACATGGAGGAGTACATTGAAAAAGCATAAAAATGAGAGAAGAGATTTGAATTTTTAGTCCATTTGCAGTTCCAGTACAAGATTGAATCAAATGGCATTTAAGCTTTGGTGTATTGTTCGTTCAGGCAATCGCTTTCAACCAAGTAACCTTTTGTGATTGCACCTTAAAAAGAAATCTGTACAAACTGTACTCTGCATTGTTCTATTCCTTCTTTCATTATCAGGCACAGCCATGCTAGAACAGAGTGTTTACATTTCTGTAATCCAAGCGCAGTGGGCTTTGCATCTACAGTAGCAGTGTTCTGTAACCCAGTAGATAGTTTTCACCTCTGCAGCTTGTGTTTCTTCCCCTTTTCATCGCTGTCCTTCCTCATGACCTCTGCAGAGGACCCTGCAATCACTTTGCTCGGATATCAAGTACAAGACGCTGAAGAATCAGACCACAAACTGCACGCAGAGTTCACTCAGCTTTGCTACTTTGTTTATTGTTTCCTCTGTGGTTTGCATGTCCATTTTCTACATTTCCCTTGCAAACATCTGCAGCCAGCACTCCAAATCTGTCTAATCCTGAGGCTGAAATCACTGCCTGACAGTTTAGCAAGTGGCTGTGCGGGGCATGTGTGTGTATGTGTGCTCTGAAGTAGATGCACATGGGGGTTTAGAAGTGGAGAGACAGGAAAGCAGGCAGTGAGGTGGACATTCACCATGGTTACTGTAATTTTCCATCCTTTAGCTCTGCTGAGAGGAGCCTTTCTCTGCCCCGCGCTGACAAGCAGGCCGCTCATTATGAACTGAATACATACAAATGGCGTCCTTCACTTTGTTAGCCCCTCATTGGGGTCTGCAAGCTTTTGGCTTCGTCTGTGTACTGCGCTCCTTTATGGCGGCGGATGTGGGCAGAGATGAGCGCGCTTTCATGTATGATGGCCTAATTTAGCTCCCAGAGAGCTCAAGCACACTTCAAAGATTGCGATGAGGAAAAACCTGATTTAGATGTGCATGTCATTTGTGAGCATCCCTGTTTTACTGGAAGACCCTGTAATATAAAGGGCAACGATGATTGGAAACTTTAAAAGCTTTCTTTAAGATGTACCAGGCAAAAATCTAATCACAATTTTGAATTGTAATGACCTATGTTGCCTTTCAAATGTAACTTTAAATTGTTGTAAAGAATGCTACTGTTTTACTAATGCTTTGTTGTCACTTACATTGGTTATAATTATATAAGTGGCAGTAGTTGGAGAGTAACTATTACATGGGAAAGCTAACTTTTACGTCTGGTTAAAAGCTGCTGATCTCTGATGTGAAACATTGCTTCTGTGATCAATTTATTGACTAAACAGAGCACACATCGGATCGTTTTCATGATGTTATCACACATCCAGCATCTTTTTCACCATTTTCAGCAAATCCTGTGTATGTAAATCTCTGTTGAATATTTAAAAAAAACCTCGTTTACATGTTCATAAAGTCTCGGCGTAGCATAGACCTCTTTACAAATATTTGCATCAAAGCTGTGGAGGGGGCACTTGGAGACCAACTTGGAACTGCGATGTGAACAGAGAAATCATATCAGACAGGAAGATTTCAAAAATTAAAGAGCTCCTATACTAGGGAATTGAAGTAAGCAGGCATGAAGGGCATTCATCAGAACCATTGGCCGAGTTCCTGCAGCCATGGAAAGTCTTGTCAAACAAGTGTGACAGCAAACCCACAGTTTATTAAATTACACTTAGAGAATAATGTAATAGTATAAGACGCATTGCGATCTTGGAGAATGGCCAAAATGGAGAAACGTGTGAATAAAACAAAGAGGTTTCTTGGAAAGGAAACAAACATGCAAGCTTGTGTACAGATATAACTGTAGAGCTTGAGATGACCTGAAATGTGAAATCAAAGAAAAACTAAGTAGGCAAAGCAAAGAGTCAAACCAAAGACATCGAGAGTCATTTCCATGTGGTGCTCTTGAAAATTCAGAATAAAGTTACATTTTTACTGAATGTAAATCTTACCCCCCAAAAAAAGAAATACGGAGAGAGATTAAATTCCATCTGAATCATAGAAATATAATTGTATTTATCCTGTTGTTCGTCCTCTTATTGACCCCACATTGATATTTTGTCGGATTTCTTCTAAAAGTCACAACAATAAACCACTGCGGCCTGCATTTCCCCCATTAGTCTCTGTATTGACTCCAACCTCAGCCAAACCACCTCTGCACTCATTAATTGACAATGAGGTCTACAATGTTATTCCTTGCTTGGACTTTGCAATAAACGGTGGCAGAAAGTAGACACCAGCTTTTGTGTGTAAACGATAAGCCCACAGTAACAATAGAGGTGTTTTTCTGTGGAGAAGATCCAGCGTGTAACACTAACAGGAATGATTAAGTGCTGCAGGCATGACACAACTACAAACATCCAATCATTTACAGGAAATAGGAAATGCTAGTTATATTTGCTTGGATACGTACATCAAAGATAGTTGACCAAAAAGTCAGCAGCTGTGTATTTTAGCGGCTGCTGTGGTTTCTCCTCACTGAGTCAAGGGTCAGGCCTGATCATTTCATCTTTATTTTTTGTTTCATCCATTTATTTAAAAGGTCTTTGATCAACTCATTTGATTAACATGACTAAACACACACTTGACCTAATTTGTAATGGAGAATATTCCACTCAGTATTCAGTGTTTTAATTTTTCTTCTTTGATAATTGATGGTTCTTTGGAAACACACATGACTTTGCAGTCCTAGTGAAGTTGTAGGAAATAAATAGTAAATATGAATAGTTTTTATTCAGATTCTACGCAAATCTGTGTTGGACAAACCTCATTAAGAAAGTCTTAAGTAAGTAGCATTTACACTTTTTATTTAGCAAAAACAACTATTTCCCAATTGTTTGGAAATGGTAGTGTTGACTTTAGTTTTAAAGTGTTATTTTCTTGATGTTTATGTCTTGTTGGCAGCTGTCGGTAATAATACATCTTGAGGGGAATCATTAGAAGTATGCTCTATAAAGAAGGTCCTAATTTTACATTTATGGCAGAATACAGTTACATTGCTAACCTGAAATGTATCAGATGTGTTTATAGCCACATGAAATTACTAAAGCTATTTTCTATTCAGCTGTTTTCTTTATTCCTATCTATGTTTACAATCAATGAGCATCATAAATTAATGATGTTTTACAATTGAATGGGAATTTGTCTTTCGTTTCTTCATTGTTACATGAAGGAATAAAACCCTCACTAGATGTGATTACATATCTGTACCCGAGGGTTAGGAAATCTGGTTTAATCTGTACAAGATTTACATCAAACCAGGTCTGAAGTTTCAAATATATCGTCTTCACCACATCTCAAATAATTAATGTTCATGCCCAGCATCACTTTCTGGAAGTGGGCTCAGGTGAGAGCGCTAACGTTTAGCTCGGCTAAATCTAGGACACAGGACCTCTCATTAATATGGATCTCTTTGTCTGCCCGGTGTAATTTAATGATGACAGGTGATATGGCAGCAGTGATGTGGACTGACGTCAGGCGCGGCTCATTGTCAGAGAGCTGTGCTGTCTGTGAAATCCTCAGTGGTGTTCTCTGCTTAACTGCAGTTAGTCTGCACGTCTGATAGCAGAGAGAGGAAGTGATTAAGCTCCCCATGTGGCAGCTGAGATGCATGCCATCCATCCTGCAACAGCTCTCTGGACTCCTGATGGATAGGTAGATTGATAGGCAAACAGAAAACAGACACGAGGCACAGAGTCGAAAACTTATGCCGTTGCTTAGTCAAGGTCAAAGACCTGCGTCACTCTCAGCATCTAGTGCATGGAAGGATTAGTGTCTACCAGCCCCAGGTGCTAATGGTGCCCCTGAGTCTCTGTCTGAAGTGACTGTTTACATTTATCGTTGGAAAGCCAATTAAATGACTGAAGAAAGACACAATGAGAGGCAAAACTACGACAAATAGGAACACCATTACTACAAGACACTCCAAACAACAACAAAGAGAGGTTAAATGACCACAAAGACAGACAAAACGCCTGAAGAGAGAAACAAAATTGCTACTAAGAGACGAAAGACAAAGAAAGAAAGACAAAGAAACACAAAATGACAGAATAATGACACGCTGTTTTTCAGGGTGTATTGCTGCAATACTGTAGGAGGGGTGGGTGGCTTTTCACATGATCATGGCCTATTGTGGTGCTATGTTCTATTGTTATACATGTTCTGATGTTCCAACATCCAAAGGGCAATTCTTATGAATTCATGATCACTATTGATATCATTTTTTAAATATTTTTTAACAAATAAAACCAAACTCATATTTGCGATAACAGTTTTTCCCAGGATGTAAGAATGTGCTGCTTTTATACCATTGTAAATTACAATCTTCATGTTTCATTGTTTGATAAAAAAAAATTAATAGGAAAATGAATCACTAGAATAAACAGTAATGACATTCATTTGTACATCCCTCAAATTAATGTAATGCAATGTTTTGTTCTCTTTAAAAATTGTTCACTGTAAGTTGTTGGTGGTAAAAGCATTTGATGGCTTCCTGCAGTTAGCTCAATTAACATAGAAACACTTGTGTGTGGATTGTGTGCAAAGGCAATCATGCCTTGTGGGTAAAAGTATAATGAAATAACACATATGAGCCTTTAGGAGATTTTAGCACACCCTGCATATATAATCTCTGTATTATGATGCTACTATTGTACCAGCATTTTAATTCTTAAGATTGCAGGGGACTATCTATATTCATTGGATAATAATACATCATTTTCTATCTAGTGCCATTATGCAACATTCAATTCATTTTATTTCAATGTCAATTTTAAAGAAATAACTATAACAATATATGCTCCATGCTAAGGCACAACAATCATTGTTTTTAATGTAATGTATAAGTTCTTTATGAGTAACCTTTGTTGACATGTGCTGTACAATGTCTTTATCACTATCGCTGCAGGGGGCTGATTCAAATCCTAAATAACCACACTCCACTGCATGCCTGATTAAGCCTTTAGTTTACTAAGTGTGGGAAATGAGTGTAATTATACAGGACAAATGCTCCATACATAGAAAGATATGATAGAAATTTCCCATCTGACAAAATGTTTTCATATGCAGTTAAGTATAAAGCTGTGAAATTCAAAATATTCATATCGAATAAAAAAAGAGGCGTTTGTATGTTTATTGCATCTGTAGATGATATATTTCCCCCCCCCAGGGATGTGTGTTTACACGCAGCATCTACAATTTCTTTTCACTAGCAGCCGGCATATCTCGAAGAAAAGTCCAAATTAAGGGTTATCATTGTTGCCAAGGCAACGTGCTGGGTAATTTTCTGTAATTTTCCAAGAACGATTGCCACTGACGGTGGAGTCCATATCTAAACGCAGTACACTATAAAAAAACACAGGAAATCAAACACTAAAAAAGAAATCTTCCATGTGGATTTGTGTTCTTGTTACATTCTGTTTCCACTCTAGATTGCTGTCCTAAAATGTCCTTTATTCCTTATTAAATGTTTGAAAACACAAGAGGATGTACTTCAATTGTGCATGTTTAATATTTACCCTGCTTAGTCATCACAGCATGCTGTAGATTAAGCCCTGCACACATAATGTACATTCTCCTTGTGGGCACGATTTGCACCCCTCACTAAACTGCCTCAGAAAGATAAGCTGCTAAAGATTGGCAGAATTACTTCCAGCATCTCTTTTCTCACTATGAAATCTTAGGATCAGAACTTTGTTCCTCCTCTGCTGTTTCTCTGTGTGAACATCTCAGATGCCCCAGATTTCAGCGTATTGAATAAGCTCATCTATAAGTGCTGACTCATGTTGAGTTTTAGCTCATTATTCCCCTCTCTTTGTGTGTTTTTCTGTTGCAGCTCTGCAATGGCGGCTCTGTGACAGATCTGGCTAAAGGCATGCTGAAGAGAGGAGACCGAATGGATGAAGCTATTATTGCATACATCTTGCATGAGGCCCTTATGGTAAGTCTGGCCTTTTCCGTGTGCAAGAGGGGAGACAATAACAATTGAATACATTGCTTCGGGGAAAAAGCTTGAACAGGATCATTTGATAGCAGGTGCTTCAGAAAAATCGGTTAATCTTTTTTATTTTTGTCACAGGGCCTCCAGCACCTGCACGTCCACAAAACTATTCACCGTGACGTCAAAGGCAACAACATCCTGTTGACGACGCATGGAGGTGTCAAACTCGTGGATTTTGGTACGCAATGTGTAAAAAACACAAACAAACCATGTCTTTTTCTGTTCTATCCTCCTCTAATCAGTTTCAATCAAGTTATGGCTCTACTTAACAGAAGAGGGTCAAATCCATTACCCTCAGATGCTTGCCAAATAATATTGTGGAGCTAATTAGTTCCGTTGAGAGGTTGAAATGTGTTTACAGGACCTGACGAGGTGGCAGACGATACACTTTTCCATTACAACCTATCTTTCACATTCCCAAGTAGACAGCAGCGGACATTGTTGCTGTTCACTCTGTGTTTGCACGGATTTGCTTTTGTGTTTTCTTAACCAAATGAGGCGCTCAGAGCAGCACGACCATATTTTTTCAATTGAAGGCTTACAATACGCAAAGTGAATCTGACTATTTCCAGGGGATGACTCACCACTGTTTTCTTCAGGGGCTGAACATCAGCTGCCTGTTTTCATTACACATACAATCCCCTTTCAACATGTGTGTAGGTTTGCATTTAGTCTGCTAATTGTGGGGCTTCTCTTAAAAGCCTTTTTCTAACCACAAAGCACAAAGTGCACAGTTCTTAGAAGGGGGGTGCACTTTAATATGAACTAGCTAATAAAAAGCAGGGCTTTCCGTTTAGTCTTAAGAGCAGCTCCTCCTCACAGATTCTCAACACCTGGTTTTTGCACCAGTTTTAAAAAGGAACTCTGAAGCCTTGAGGTTTTCAGCAATTGAAATGTTGTCATAAAAGGTCTCTTAATATCTGCATCTGGTGGTAAGCACTCTGTTATAGCTTTTTTACATTTTCCAATATTTGTTGTGATTTAGTACTCATCGCAAACACCTACATTTTTTAAATGGGCCTACTTTCGCACAATTGACATGTCTATATAAGCCTTTTTTATTGCATTCAATATTTAATTCTTGATTTCACATATATGCTTAAATTGGTTATATTAAAGACAGCAATTCAAAGCCAACAGTAAACACTGTAAATCTAATATTGTATACCTGATTACTCAGCTGAGATTGATTTGTGATTATTTCCCAAACATTAGGTTTTACCTTTTTTATTTTATTTCTTTTGCCCTGATACCCGACCATGACCCTACGGCTAAATACTAAATTGGGCAATGAATATTATGAATTGATACAACCTTAGCGCTTATGACTGGATTATGACTAGAACTGATGCAACATATATGTCAAAGTAGAACATCTCATCGTCAATTAAAATGATTTGTATAACTACAGTAAAGAAAACAGGAATAAAAGATAAAGTAGCAACATATTAACGAAAAAAAAATCCTAAATTGGGATCAATAAAGTATATCCTATCCTATCTTATCTTATATTTATAGTTCAACTGTACAGTGACTTAAAGTTGACCTTGTAACAGTTTAACACTAGTTACAAAAATGTTTGATGTAAAATGTAATTTAAAAATATTAGCTGGTTAGTTTTCGACTTTCACTACATTTTTACAATGGCATATCTACGCTGTAAAAAAAAAGCTTATAAAATAAGAGCTTATAATATATATAGATACTGGCCTTTTACAACAGAAAGTTGAGGGCATCATATGTTATTACTTACGAGCTGTTAGTGGTTGTGAAGAACTGCCACGTCACAAGATTGATATTCACAACAGCCCAGTGTGTCCATCTACAGCCACTTGAGCTGTCAAAAGCGTCATTGAGACAGACTGGTAATGCATTAAGTCCCTCTTGACAAGAGTGGCAGTTACATATTTGCTGATAAATGTCAACAGCCAAGTCTAGCATCAGCCTTTATTAGTGTCAGATAATGTAGGTAAAGGGAAGCTATTGTCCCACATATTTATTTAGCAATATATATTTCATTTTTATTTGTTCCGTTCATGGTATGCACAACTTAATGTATAACAATTATTTACAAAACATGTCTCTATAAACACACCATACCTGAAAAGGAGCAGGGAGGAGAAAATAATCTTATGTTACCTGACCCTTTCTCAAAATAAATAAATAAATAGAAATAGATGGTCTGTCCTTCATATTTTCTTAATCACAGCCAATCATAACAGTTTCGTAGGAAAATAAGAGAAACACAAAAACTTGCAAAAAAATACTTAGTTCCCACTTGACAGTTAACGGAAAGACAATGTGGACATCACATGTACAAGGAAAAATGCAACACCCTCATCTGAGTCCTACTGGAGTAAATCTAAAGTATGACATGTTAGGAAGCTCATAAAATGAATTGTTCTTGAATTGTCTTGTTGGAAAGTGAAATACAGAGAAATTCAGAATATAGCCCTCAAGTCAAGTATGATTTACAAGCTTACACAGCAGTGATGTGGAGGGCTTCACCCACTCATATTGAATGTAGCTTAAATATTAGCTTGTTAGCAACACAAATTGAATGTCGGACAACTTGACAACATCTTAGGTAATGCAAATAATTATGAGTTTGAATTTGTCTCTATAAAAGTCATATATCTCTTCATAAATCTAAATATAGGTCTGCCTCCCACTCACAATTTGAAGTACATCATGAAAGGCTTTAGGGTCTCAGAAGATATTGCACATAAGACCATTTATAGGAAGTTATAATAATACAATTACCCCAAACATCCAAACAATTTGTTATTATATAGAGATGTGGTTTGCAGAACATCTTATCAGGCATTTCTTTCACTAGCTAATCCTGATTTCCATGCCTAAAATAGGAAGAATGCAGTATCTACTATTATTATTCATAGCATTAACACATTGCTGTCACTTAGTTCATCGTGTTTTGGGAGCCCCTAAAACCAGATAGGAAGTTATTACATTTAAAGTTGGATCATTATGACCAATAAATCATTACTGCAATAACTTGACATTCTATAATTGCTCTAAAGTAACTTTACTATCAAACTTTAACTTCCATGTTAACATATTCACTGTTATCTGCTCTTATCCTTCTGCTGGCTATTCAAAACAAATGCATGTTGGCATACAGAAAGTACGAAATGTTATCTTTGTGAAACATTGGGGTTTGTAATGAAACATGATCTAAGCTGTGGGCACCATTACAGATAAGAAAGCAGAAGAATAGAGGTAAGAATTGGAGGTGAGAATTTGGTGGGCAAAGCAGCAAGAGCATCATCATGTGACTGTAATATGATATTAAAAAAGATCCAGTTATGATATTCATGATCCCATAAGGATACTGGCTTAGCTATCTCCTTAACTCTCTTATTGTCACCACAAAGAGGTTTATATTTTTTGGGGAGATTTTTTCTGACAATTACTATTTTATCCCAGCAACAAAACAAGTGTACTACTGTTATTGGGATACTGTTAGCATGCTATCATTAGCATTTAGTACATGCTGAGGTAGCTGCTAGCAATGCTGTAGAGACGTTTAGTCTTGATCAATTCTGATGTGATTTTGGCTAGAAAATTGAAACGTCAGGCATGCGACATATACATATGGGACTTCTAGAAGGATCTATCTGAGTAAGTAAATATCATATGTTTCACCAGGCACAATGGTGGCAGCGAAATCAGCCGATAAGACTCGGCCTCCTGTCCTGTTAACTTAATTTAAAGTCTAAAGTTGAATCTTTTCCAGCCAATATACAGAGCAGGCATAAAAAGCTATTTCACATCTTTTGTTTTAGCTTGTTTGCAAGCCTTTAACAATGCTGACAGTTCAAATTTCAATCAGATATTGGAAATGACGACATCAGAGAAGGAACAAAAGGAAGCAGCAGTTTAGAGAAACCCTTTGTGTATAAAAACTTGCAGAGTGACGAAAACAGTTGAAAAAAAGAATCCGACTCGTGCTCGCCTCGATGCCACTGCGTCACGCTGGGATTAATGGTTTTTCATGTGGAGGGGTGTACGCTACAATAAGCAGCTGAAGAGATAAAGCCCCCGCAGTGACTCATCACCAGCAGAGACACATAATGGCAAAGAGATGTACCCAAAAGGAAGAAAAAAAGGGAAGAATTAGAGGCACTTTTCATTCATGGGTCTCTCATGAATATTCTAATTGACAGCGTTATCTGTGTGATGATTATTAAGTGTGGCCCACCAGGCTCCACTCCGGGCTAATGTAGTGGAAAGAGAGGGGTTGTGAGAGCTTTAATAGGGGTTCTTTGGTTCTGTATCCTCACACACCTTATGTATATTTACTGTAGTGTGTGTGTGTGTTTTATTGGACATTCGGTTTCTTCTCACTAATGCCGGTTGAAGTGTTACTGTGTAGTGGTTTGCTGTTTTGGTGACAGCATTAAGTGTCTCTGTGCGTGTGTGTGTACAGCTTTACGCATATATCCCCTCCTACACACGTTTCTAATCCCCTTTCGACGTTTGCCACAGAATCATTTTCCTCTGCTTTGCTCGACTCTATTTCTTTACTGTAGCGACTGTAATGAAGTCGTCAAAACAGAAACGTACATATGGAGCTTTTACAGGAAACAATCGCTCAGAAATACATTTATGTTCAATATCATGTCATGACACATTCCCACATCTGGGTACTATGTTGGTACATTTTTAGATAAAACCCCTTTGGATCCCTATGGCTTTGATTGAGCTGTAACAAGTTGTGCAGCAACATTTAGAGTCAGTTTTACACGTCACATGCATATACTATATTTTAAGAATTATAAACTACTTGGTTAGGATTAGGACAAAATGTTAGTTAAGTAAGTAGCATGTAATGCAAGTATGTCACCTGGGTGCTTTTTACATTTTAGGGTACTTTGCACTCCCTTACATCACCTCACTGCTACCTTTGTTCCCTGCATTATAACACAAACATATTTCATAATAGCTTAAAGCGTAGGGTCCCTGACCAATCTGCCATATTTGACATCTTGTGAGTGACAATGGGCTGGACATGCTGTACAAGACAAAAACATTTTTCTGCAACAGCATGTCGTGCATCAGCCGATCACCTTTTGTTTGTTTGTAGCTGCTTTTGTCACGAGGCTCTGCTTTTGTCCTAGTTGCTGCTTGAGCTGAGCCAGCCCTGGGATACATTACAGTGTGGCATGACACTGATTTGTCTGGACTGGAAGGAAGTCACGATTGTGGGTCAGCATGTTCCTTGTCAGGCATCGTACCGCATATTACCACACACATAAGGAGGACACACAAGCATTCTCTACGATCCCTCTTTTGCTGAATTTAAACATCTTGTCCTATTATTTACATTTAGATAAACCAGAAGCTTCTAAATAACTTAAAACCATAACATGTTGTTTTGAGAGACAGTGAAAGGTTGTCTCCTGCCAAAACCTGTTTACAGCTGAATTGTATTCAAATGTTGTTCTTGAAATGCCCCTCAAAATCACCTGCAGTCACATGTGAATGTGTAATGCAAAGCAATCTATCATTTGTAGGGGATAAACATTGCAGTTTGTTGGCACTGTGTATATGAGTGTGTGTGTTTTGTTTTTCCTCCTTGTCACTATAGTGACAGCTCAATCAGTGGTACACGTGAAAGCTCTGAGATCCATTCAGCCCCGTATCAGTTGAGCAGTACCCCACTGTGTACTGTTTCCCTCTTCACAGATCATCACTTTTACCAGCCAGACTGATGTTTGTTGGGGAAAAAAAAAAATGTCAAGGAAGCTACTGAGATAGTGAAAATTGTCTCCACTGAGTGCACGTTCTGAGAGCGAGGCTAAAGTGTCTAAGGGATGCATTCTCTTCCCTGCAGGTGTTTCTGCCCAGCTGACAAATACCCGACTGAGGAGGAACACCTCTGTGGGAACTCCCTTCTGGATGGCTCCCGAGGTACAGTAAAACTCCCTTTCCACTACATTAGCCCGGAGCAGATCCCACTGGGCCACACTTAATAATCATCAAAGAGATAACACTGTCAAATACAATGTGCATGAAAAAAAGGGATTGCCGTTATTCATTTCCTGTCCAAGCATAGCTCAGTGCACCAGCAGGTTTTATACCTTCCTTGTAGAAATACTTACATTAAGAACTCGTATGGTTTTTATGGTAGCTTATTTTCTCCTTTGTGGTGTAAGGGACAACAAAAAGCGAGGCGGTTTCTCAGCTGGAGGATCGTGTTATTGATTCATCTGCCTTTACTTTGTAGCACTGGTTGATTCTGTTTGGTAATTTGTATCTTTCTCCCGTCAGACAATAGGCAGGCAGCTGTTTCTGTGTTTTGTTTCATAACTTTTATGTTTTAAGTTGATGAGCACATCCAAGTATCTCAAGGAAGTACATAGCTTAATATTCTGATGGACAGATTGACATATAATAACACGGTTTATTGCCAGTGCAGGAAGCAGTGTGCCCTCCAATCTTAAATAGGCAAGTTTGAAAGTAAGATCGTTTGAGATGTTTTCTTCTCATGTTATACCAGAAATTAAAAGAGGATTCAACCGAATAATACACATACATGTTTATTAATTCATATGGGAAAACTACAGCATATTTGAAAACAGTTGCATTAAGTCTGATAAATTGGGGGTTTGTAGAAAGCTGACCAGGCTTCTGGAGAAGAGTTTCCTTGATCTGGTAGTTGCCATTTCTTTTTTGTTGACATATCAAGCCTTTTAATCAGAATGTAATCTTTCTAGTATTTAAAAAAAGGTATCATAAGCTTATTCTGGTGATTATTTCTGCCTGTAACTAGCTGTCAAAGTGGCTAGTTGTCACTCTTTCTAGCCTTATAAATGATTTAATTTGAAGAAGGTTCAGTAACACCTGGTAACTTGGTATTTTACCGCATGCTAAGTGCTATCTTGAATGTTAGGACAGAGTGTTCTGCAAGACCAGAGCCATGCTTGGGGTTATCACACTGACGGCTTTCATTCATATTTAATTGAACTGAACCCACGACACTTCAGGAAACCCTCAACACGTAATGGCATCCCATAACCAGCCGTCTGCACACCTGAACCTCAAGGCGATTCTCTGGAGGGATACGATGTGTAGTTTAAAGGAGTGGGGATGCTGCCCTCTTCATTTGCCCTTCATTAAGGCAACTTGCATATTCAATTGTAAAATCTAAATGGACGTTTTTACATGAGCTTTGCATGCCTTGCAAATTGTGCATCACAGTATACATGACGTGTTTGGGGAAGATTTTAATGTGATTTGGGTAAAGTGTTAAACAAAGTTGCTCAGATGCTCTCTCTCAACTTGAAAGTCTTTGATTGAAAGCTTTATTCATGGCAGTAGGGAGATTTGTGTCAAGGATATTTTTATTACAAATACAACAATATTTGTTTTGACTTTGTTTTAACTAAAGATATTATATAATATAGTATTGCATTTGTAGGGACACATTCTTACCTACTTTCTCAAGAAGATCTTGTTTTGCAACTTTGATTTGTACGGGTAAGTTGTGCTTTTCTCCTTATTTTCTTGTTATCATTTTAAATACCAAAATTGTCTTTATGAGAACTGCTTTAACATTGATATTTTGTGTCTTCATTTTGTTTCTTATGTATAGAAATGGACAGGGACTTTATTTGTGATGTTTTATTAGTGATCTAATTATGATTTTTCTGCTTCTCTTGACTTTGTACATAAAACAAACAGTTTTTATTGATTTAAAAAATACTTGCAGTAAAGGTGAATGTGCGTTTTTGTGCCTCCTGCTGAGAAATGCATCATATTGTTGATGGGGTACCATGTTGCCCTAAGGACACTGAAGATTGTTGTAGTGTTTGTTTGTGTGTGGGCACTCTAATGCCCACAGCGGATTATGATGAGACTGCAGCTTTGGCTGAGCTCTGTTACACTCTATAACAGGTTCCTTTGATATTTTGGTACATTTTGCTCTTTGTAATGTTTGTTTCATGTATGTCCTTAATAAGGAAGTAGGGCCAAACTTTACCTCTTTACTCCAGAAGTATGTGCCGTATAGCAGAATATTCAACCTGTTGGATGAGACTTTATTCTCCAAAACAAAAGTATAATGTTATTTTGACATAATAAATGGTGAAGCTATGAAAGTCAAAGGCAATACAATGTTATATCTCCCACGATAACTGTCTAAGATATCAATTGATGGCTAGCTGTTTGACAAAGTAATAATATACAGGGCTGTTTTTTATTTCTGTTTCAATATTTTATCCTTATATTTTTGTGTTTTTTTTTTACTTTGTCCTTCGTCTGCTGTAGGTAATAGCGTGTGAGCAGCAGTTGGACTCAACCTACGATGCTCGCTGTGATGTGTGGTCACTCGGCATCACTGCCATAGAGCTGGGAGATGGAGACCCTCCCCTCTCTGAACTCCACCCAATGAGAGCCCTCTTCAAAATACCCAGGTGAGCTTCCATGTCACATATATTGAATTACATTTTATTTTTATTTGATAAGCACGATGCAATCTAACATAATTTAAAGCTTTTGCTACACAATACAATTTAGAGGTATTCTACTGTTATCATCAATACTCTAAACCAAGGTGCTGATGAAGTTACAGTATAGCTTAAGGTGACAGTGCTAACCAGTTAGCCACAGCACTGTGCTAAATGTGTTTTTCTGGATTAAAAACCTCATATTCAGATTGTATAGGAACTAAAAGTTGTAGTTATTATGGTAGGATCATAAAAAAATGTATTACTTTGACTTGACTTATGATTTACTGAATGAATCCTTATTCATTCAGCAAAACACAATTTGCTCGAACATACTGAATTTCATGGAGACACAACAGCCCTATTTGTATTTATAACTTGCAACATGCATTTTCCTATCTTCCTTTTTTAATACAAAAGATTAATGACAGTGTCAAAGTGAAGAAACAACAGTGTCTTTATCCCATTGGCATGTTTTTCACTCTGATGCACTTTATGTGGTGACTTCCTAATTACAACCTGTGAACTGAGAAATCCGTGCTATATTATTGTAGTGTTATTAAACCGTCATCTGGCTGCCATCTACCATAGAAGACCAAGCAATCACAAGTATTAATACATATAATTCAGTTTAATGTTTTGCATGCAGTGAGTTTATTAGTTACAAATTATATGGAATTTTAAAACAATACCCACAATTTTAATATGACAAGACCATGAAATAGTCTTTATTCTACACAATTGCTAATATGTTGAATTTTATTTCGCCAACATAATGTATGGCATTTTCACTTGGAAAAAATAAAGATGCATTTGCTTTATTTTTGTTGATTGATTGTCTGATACTGTTTTATGGAGATCTAAGACATATTCTTAATTAACAGTGAGTTAAAGAACCAATAATAATATAATTTATTTTTTAAATTAAATAGGTATAATACGATCACCAAATATACTTAAAGGGCCAACAGTAAAAGTACTTATTGTGCCTAATGGCACATTTCTGTAAAAATGTAATTGCTTAATAATATTGTTTAATTAAGGCAATCTTGGTTACTTCTCATCTTGCTCAGTAGCTTAATCAGAATACACAGGTTACATGTAGGTGTAGCTGCAATAGTGCAATCCAGGAAAGCTCCTGCTCCCAAGCACAATGATTTGCCTCTCTTTGCAGACTGTCACCTGACAAATCGCAGTCTTTTTTATTTCAAATAGCTTTTTTCCGCTCGCAGGGTTTTTTCCATAAACCCCTCCCCTCCTGGCACTGATCCCATTCATCCTGTGGGTGGAGGCTAAGAGCACAGCCACCCGTTTCTCATCTGTGTGTTTTGGGGGGCTGAAGGTGAAAAATAATTGTTTATCGTCTCCTGATTCCAGTGTGAGAGCAGCATAAGCACTTACAGTCACTGTCATATTGAAGGCACAGCACTTTGTCCATCACTGCCCTGAAACGGTGTGCTCCTTCACACACACACACACACACACACACACACACACACACACACACACACACACACACACACACACACACACACACACACACAGCCTCTGTGACAGAGCTGTGTGTGTGTGTTTGCTCTGGGGGTCGTGCTCCACAGGAGACATCACACAGCTTCCTCAGAATCTATAGTGACTGCTGCAACCAGAGCTCCAAGCACTCTGTTCATACTACTCTCCTCTCACCACTCTGGGTTCATCGTCAAGCCATGCTGAGGGCATCCATTTCACAACACTCTGTCTTATTTCATTCAGGGTAGCTTAAACAGAGCCAGATAAAAACTTAGGATAATCAAGGACAACCATTTTGATTGTTTTTTTCTTCAGCAAATCTTTCTTTTGATCAATGCAAACATCTTTATGTTGTTTTGTCCTCTATCTTGTCCACTCACTTTCATATAGCAGAATTGAATTATGATATTGTGCAATCCAAAATTACAACTTGCGTGACACAGTATAAACAAAACAAACTTTACAAGCAGAGTTATAAGCAATAGCTTTATTGTGTGCACATGTTTTGGTTGACTACAGTGTTTGAAATATAGTATTGGGTTTTGTTGTTACTTTTAAACAACAGGATTGCAGGGAAATCACATCAAAATATGAAGGAGAGGACAGTAGAAGACAGTAAAGTCATTCCAAAAGTTGAGAAACAATTCAGAAAATGAGCTAGCGAGCTGAGATTTCTTTTAATGGAGGCAAGTTAGAGAGTTAGCATTTAAGTTAGCTACCTGGGATTTGGTCAGACAAGTCATATAAGCCAACATTTGGTTTGTGGCCTGAAAGAAATTGAGGCAAATTACATAGACTCGAATATCCAGTATGTCTCAAGCATTTGCTGTCTTAGTTTGGGTGTGTTGTGGGATAAACACCAGATGCATGTCCCCTGATTCGACATATTTATCGCTGTTAGAGCCAACATAAAAAAGGCCCTGATACATTGGCAGGCAGCATTGAACTCCCCTACACTTGCAAGGAAACCTCTTGTAAAAAAGTACTTAAAGCAGAACAAGGAATTCAAGCAAATTAGCTTAGCTGTTTGCCAGCTGTTAGGGCTTGATATGCTTGAACCCATTTACGAGCTGTGTCTGTTTGAATGAGATTTTTACATGGGGAAACCTTAAGCTTTTAAGATCTGGCTATATATTTGATAGCCAGTGGTACTAACTATTGCTTTTATGTCAAAAAAAATTAGCTGTATCAATTCTACCTAGCTGCTAAGGGGCTGGGACGTTTGTCTGTGCCACTGCAGAAAATCCCCTGGATGTCAGCGATGCTGAGTTGTTAAGATTTTCCTCCCTCGTTACAATCTGTGCCTCTGCCTTTTGTTCTCCGGCCCACCTGCGTAAATCCCATCTCATCGTATCTTTCCATTTATTTTTTCAATTCCCTCCTTTAACAGAAATCCTCCGCCTACTCTCCACCAGCCGGAGCTGTGGTCAGACAACTTTAATGACTTCATCGGCAAGTGAGTGTGGATGCTTGTGTGTTTGTAACGCCTCTGTGAATAATACATATTTTTACTGTAGGTGCACTGTGAATACAAATCCAATAAATGAATTGCACTCCTCTTCCCACCTTTTATTCTTCCCCTCAGATGTCTGATTAAGGATTTTGAGCTGAGACCAAATGTGCTAGACCTCCTCCAGCATGTGTACATCAAACAGACTGTTGGCAAAGTGAAAATACTGCAGAAGCAACTGATCGAACTCATTGACCTCAACCAACAAATAGGAGTGATTGATAAAACAAGGTATTGTCTTAACTGTGGTTGTATGTATAAGTTGTTTCCTTCCAAAATAACTCACATTTCTACATGCTCTACTCCTCTCCTCTTCGAGTGTTTGATATATTTAGTTATAAAACCCTAAAAAAACTTGAAGTCTGCAAGCCTTCCTGTCAGCAGGGTTTATATAGTCGGCTGCAGCTTAGCTTTTGCAGTCAGTATAATCCAAATTACCCTCCCTGCTGGATTTTTTTACAAGCCCCATCACTCTCTCATAAACAAGCGCTCCATCCTGCTCCAGCTTCATTCGAGGTGCAGGCTGAGCACAGTATGTGTCACATGAGTCAAAATACTGGCCCAGAAAGTATGTACTGCCCGTACGGATCATGAAATGTTAATCATATTTCTGTCGTTCAAGCCATCATGGAAAGACAAACAGAAGCAGTGAAAGTAATGACAGGTAACAAAAGCCTATATGACCTTTATGCCACAGTAGGAGTACAGTAGATCCTAATTGGCGTTGTAGTTGTGATCACACATGTATTTGCAAAACTACATGGCTGATTTTAGACTGTGTATGTGCTCCCACCCTGCCATCAAAAACATTGTTGTCTTGTTTTCTGAGTCATGTTGTCTCATTGTTTTTTAACCTATTTTACTTACCGTGTAACTAAGGTCGTGACCGTCACTGTAAACCAACTACAGTATTTGATAAGCTCCAAATCTCACCAGCACTTACCATTAACTTTTCAATAAATGGTCTTCTAGCAGAGAATAAAGAGTATTACCACCATAACAAACTAAATAATATCTGGTAATAAGAAATAACTCACAAACTTATCACATATTATGACAAAACAGTAGTGTGTAATGGAGTATGCTTAGAAACTACCGGCCTCCTGGAAGTTTATTACATAAAATATACATCAATGAATGATCTTGTTTTGTTTATTTATCGCATAGGGGAAAAAAATATATTGTTCTTATTAAGTGTCCTTTAAAATGGGACAAAAGTGTTTTCCTGGAGGCAGATGTAGCCGTTATTAAGATGTGGTTTAAGTTTATTTCTGGCAACCTGTATTCTGTCTCAGGAAATAAATAAATTGCATACTGATCAATGCTATACAGAAATTAATATAAATTAAGATATTTACGGTTGAACCTTTGCTTATATTGACCTTTGTTTAAGGTGTGTTTAAATGTACAAAATGCACCATACTATTGGCAGCGCTGTGCACTGCTTCAGTACTATATGTGCTTATAAGGCATGGAATTTAAATTGACATTACTTATATTGTCATCTATACAATACATACATTACTCACTGAGAGTTGCTTGTGGGTTCTCTGAGTTCTAGGCATGAACGCATCCACACTAAAAGAGGAGGCCATATGAAGACTCAGACTGATGATGAGGTGGACGACCTCGCCACCCTAGAAGTTCTGGATGAGGTAAGAAAGTTCACAATCTATAAATATAAATAACTATTTATCTCAATACAAAACACTTATACGGGACTAAAGTCAAAAGGAAATAGCCCCTTGCAGTAAACTAATTCAAGCCAAATGGGGTAAATGGTAAACAGTTGTCAGATATAGTACAACTATAACAAATACTATCACATCATGTATTCCTCTATTTTAAGGCTGCCCTTTTTAATCTCACCTCAAGTCCATTTTGTGACTTCTCTGGAGCTTTCAATTGTTTTACGTAAAAGTCATCAGCATAATAAGTTTCAAAGCAGAGGTGCAAAGTTTATTCTTGTACCGTGGATACTGCAGGCAGATCAATATCAATCTATCAGAAGAACAGCTTAGAACATTTAAAATCAAACATCTATATTTTGATGACGACTAACTAAGCAATCTCTATTTGCTGAGAAGACGGTGTGATACAATAAAATCTTCACAACAGATGCTTAATAGACAGTGAGAGTTGGATTTGCAAAAATAATTTTCATTCATTTTACAAATATCGAAAAAGATAAAGCATTTTTGTGCTGGTCGTATTGATATGTTTCCCACTGTTAACTAGAACATTCAGCATCACTTCCCCCTGGTCACCTGTGCTGCTGTCAGTGAGAAATACACTGCAGTATCTTTTGCACAAATAACATTTAGAGCTATTTATCACTTCTGAGCGCTGCATTGACGTCTTGAATGATACAATCAGTCTCAGTTGCCAGCGGATATTTCCACCCATCCTTCAACATGAGGAGGTCTGCTAGTGTGAGGGAGACAGTGCTGCCTTGCTGTTGTTTATCTACCTGTCCTGGCAGTGTGAAGACAGGAGAAAAAAATCACCGTTTGACACGAAGACAATGCATTAACAGGCGTCCCAGGCCTTGACTTGAGTCTGGACATAAACTGTATAGTTATTTATCATAATATGGTTGGATTATTGAGGAAACATTTTATACCTGTTGTGTGAATCTCTTTCAGAACACGGTCACAGAGCAGCTCCAGAGTCGCTATGGACGAGATCAAATTTACACATATGTGGGAGACATCCTCATCGCAGTCAATCCTTTCCATAAGATGGAGATATACACTCCTCAGGTTAGTGGATATACATTCGGTCTTTTGTGTGTTCAATTGTCTATACACACACACACACACACACACACACACACACACACACACACACACACACACACACACACACACACATACAAACAGACACACTATATCTACCCCACTATTATTCATGTTTTAAACTGCTATTCATTCTCAACCCTCCTGTCTTCACAGTTCACTAAAGTGTACATAGGGGCTAAGCGCACAGCTAACCCCCCACACATCTTTGCTGTGGCCGACGTCGCCTACCAGTCCATGGTGTCATACAACACAGACCAGGTAATGTGGCAATACTCAATGATTATTTAATAGCATCCTGAGTGCTGGAAGTTTCTTTAAGATCAAATTGTTTTAAGGCTATTCAAGTGCTAAACAGCAAAATATATCATTTTTAATAGTGATAAAGTAACAGCGGTAGTATTAGTATGAATAGTTAAAGTCTGATGAATATGAGTATCATCTTTTGGGTTATATTTATTATAAAATCTTTCACTTTGAATGTCAGTTAGAGTTTAGACATATTTGAACAGTTGTTGTGACTCTGTACACAGTGTGTTGTGATCAGTGGGGAAAGTGGAGCTGGGAAAACAGAGAGTGCGCATTTGTTGGTACAGCAGCTGACAGTTCTTGGAAAGGTGAGTACTAAATACTGTCAATAACATTAACGTCATTCCCAAAAGGGATTATTCATGAAATAAAATCAATTAGAAACCATCTAAAGGATAGGTCGTTTGTATGAATGAGTTTCTGAGCAGCAGGGCATCAATTACCCAAAGTAATTTGACCATTTTTATTTCAACTTTGGTACTCAAAGAAGAACCTCCACCTACTCTAACACACTGTTAATATGAGTGTAAGACTTGAAGCAATTTAGAAGAGGTTCTAAGGGATGCCATTCATGATTTTCTACCAAATTTAAAAAAGAGTTCCCTTTCAATTCAACCTTTTCAATGTAGAGAAATGAAATAAGCAATGGCAGTTCCATTTCTGAGGGAAATAACATATATACATATAATATAAAGGCACATTGCTTGATAATAGCATTATATATTCCACCGTATTGACTTCCCAGTTACTTATGAGGAATACTGTTTTATTCAGGCCAATAATCGGACACTTCAGGAGAAGATCCTGCTGGTCAACAGCCTGGTGGAAGCTTTTGGAAATGCCTGCACCGTCATCAATGACAACTCCAGCCGCTTTGGGAAGTACCTGGAGATGAAGTTCACCTGCGGAGGAACAGTGGTCGGGGCGCAGATATCCGAGTACCTGCTGGAGAAATCCAGAGTCATCCACCAGGCAGTGTAAATATCTCTTATTTTCAATTCCGTCTATGTGTTTGTGTAATGTAAGCAATCTTTTCTGACATTTATATAAATGTTATTGTGTCTCTGGATGTTTTCTGAAAGAACATGGCAAAGAAGGTTCTTTGTATGCTTGCTGATCAGGTATCAGTGTGTAATAGCTTGTCTACTCTTCTTTTTACTTCTACGTCTCCGTTTGAAACCAGTGGCATTTACCTTCCACCTGCACTCCAGTCAATCCATCTTTTCTTCTTATCGTGTGCCTGGGGAGTGGAACAGGTCAAGTGCAGGGGCTAGCTTATTTCCTGCTTTATCAAAGAATGTGGTCTTGCAAGTGTCCGCAGCGGAGCTTCAAAGGCAGACTCAAGTATTTCATTAGAAGAGAGACACGCGGTTCAGAGGGTTTGATTTGGCTGCCAGCATTGTGTGTAGCTACACTTTTCTTCAGCCTGTTGTGCATACTCTTTTTAAAGGAAATGGCAAACAAGCTGAATTCATGTTGGAAAAAACAAATTAGTGCTAAGTGGCTGCCATAAAGTCCCTCCTGCCAAGTACACAGGTTCAATTTCGAACTGCAGAAGGTTTTTGTTTTTTTATGTTTTCACTGGCTGCTTACTGAGAAATCCCTTGACTTAAAGTGGACCTATCATGCTATATTTGAATAATATAGTGTAGGACCATACCTATATAAGGCATATTTATACTTTTTTTTTTCAAAATACCAAACAGATCATGCATTTTAGCCATGCCTCATTTCGCTCAATTTGAAAAATGTTAGCTCTGTTTTTGCAAGGGTTGGATTCTGTGAGCAACAGCACCATCTAGAGGCCTGGCATATGTACTACAGCGTCTCCAGTGCTTTCGAACGGCAATGGCCGTGGCTGTCTCCTCCTGATTGGTGGAGTTGGCCCAATAGCCGTAGCGCCACCGTCCTGACGTCAGGACAGTGTTCAAATCTGGATCAGTTTTTATCAGATCCGTTGCAGCCCCTTTTTTAGAGATTTGGGTATGGAGGAAAATAGAGAGGGTTGTGTTTTCTGACACTTGGTGAGTTCCCTGGAACACCGGGGACACATATTCATGTATAAAAGACGTACAAAAGTGCATTTTGCATGATAGGTCCCCTTTAAGGTTATTTAACAAAAACTGAAAAATATAACTATAAATGTGCCCATACATAATTGTTCACCAATCAGTTAATTTAGAGATTTGATCTTATTGGGCTTAAGCTAACATGGCTAAACACATGGTCGTACACTGGCTAGTGTACAGTATGCAATGTTAATCATTCATATCATGTATTAAATACTGCTCTCAGGATCACTGTAAAAACTCTTTCAATGCATTTGAGCCTGCAAGCTAACTCATTAATGTATTGTGTTATATTTCTGATTTGTCTTGTTTACTACATTTCTAGTAATAAACTTCTAAACTGATCATTATGCGTAAAATCTGTGAAATGCCTCTTTAAAAACAAATCTGAAAACGTTTCAGCCTTATCAGAGGTACGACTTGTCTACGTGTTTAGTTTTTGTTAGCCTGTTTTGTATTTGCCTTTCATTGTCTTTTTCCATAAACAGGAAGGAGTAATATTCGTCAATAGAGTAAAGGCTAAAATAACATGTCTAATGCTTTCAGGACCTCCATTTCAAAGCTTCGTCTTTTTGTGTTTTCCACAGAGGGGAGAGGAACTTCCACATCTTCTACTACATTTATGCCGGCCTGGCTGACAGGAAGAAACTAGCCCATTACAGGCTCTCCGACAGCAAAACACCTAAGTGGGTTTGACATCCCTCAGCCCTCCTCTTAAACACTGTTATGTTCTACTCTCACTGCAAACCTCCTGCTTACTAAGGCCGCAATCTTGATCTTGGTGTTTCTTTTTTTATCTGCAGGTATCTGTGTAACGAGCATATTAAATTAGGGCCTGACATAGTGAGCAACACCTTCTACAAGGAGCAGTTTGATGCAGTGGAGCAGTGTTTCAAAGTCATTGGATTCAGCCTGGAGGTAAAAAACTACTGCATCAATTACTGGCCAAAAAGCTGAAAGTGGTGTTTGACAGCATGACCTTGATTCCAACACTCATACAGAAGCACTCTCACACTCCTGTGTATATGGAAGACAACATGGAAGCATGTATACTATACAGAGAGTGCTTAAAAAAATACAACTGGCCTATTAGTAGTTCCTAAAGTCTACTATATGGCATGTGACGGAGCATGAAGCCACAAGCACATGTAGGCAGTTAGCTGTTGGCATTGTGAAGGCTAATGAGGCCCAAAGAACTGATTGCTTCTGCGAACTGCACGTCAATAGTACTTATCCTGTAATCACTAGGCCGTACTCGAGTAACAACCTTCTCTCCTATAGTACATCTCGTCTTGCATAAAATCACAGAGTGCACTTGATCTTTGATGCAAGGTTATTTATTTTGAAACATTATTTTGAGGAGTTCGATTATTAGAAAAGTTTTCCTTGCTAAGAACTGCAGGGTACACAAATGAATGAAGGCTAGAGAAGAGCACAAAGACTACATTTCTTATTTTAAATACCAATATGCATTAGTATTCTCTGAGACCTGCAATACAAGCTAGCTGAATTTAAGAAATAGATCTTGCCTGGCACCTACAAACAACTGTATTCATGCTTCAGAAAATGCTAACGTGCTATAACTTTGTGAATGTGACATGCCTAATTCAAGTACTGCTGTGTTAGAAAGGTTGATAATAGAGTAAAACATAGACATTATAGACTCATTTATAGACTCATTTCCATCCAGATATGTCAGAATGAGGTTGTAATAGGTACCTAACACTAGATAACTGGGATTTTATCACTTCTGCAGGAGCTGGGCAGTGTTTACAGCACTCTGGCCGCCATCCTCAACTCAGGCGATATCGAGTTTTCTCCGGTTGCGACGGAGCATCAAACCGACAAGAGCAACATATCCAATAATTCTGTCCTGGAGAACGGTAAGAGGATAGAGAGGCATGATGCAGGAAGATGTAAAACCAAACTTTAGTCTGAGTTTCGTCTGCTACACACCCCCACTCCGCTCCTTCATCCTTCGCCTCTCTCATTAAACCTTCGTTTGGAACTAAATCATCTATCATTTCAAACAGGCAATTGTAGTAATACAGAAGCATCATTACCAAACATTTAGGACATTGTTTCCCTCCTGTAATGTATTTTCTAAATCTGTTCTGACTGATAATTTACAAAGCTGTCTAGATTTTTTATTTGTATTTAATGTGATCAAGGAGCGAGAAAAAAAGGTTATTTGTTACTTGTACAAGGTTGGCATTTGCACACCCTGCATGTATTGCTTGTAGTGATTCTACTTTACACATGTAAACTTAATTTCCTTTTATAATGCGTCTTTTAGTGGCATCCCTGCTGTGTATCCGCTCTGATGAGCTCCAGGAAGCCCTGACCTCCCACTGTGTTGTGGCCCGGGGAGAGACCATCGTCAGGCCCAACACAGTGGAAAAGGCGGCGGAGGTGAGAGACGCCATGGGCAAGGCTCTGTACGGCCGCCTCTTCAGCTGGATAGTCAACCGCATCAACGCACTGCTGCGACCCGACAGCCAGCTAGGGTGAGATCACAAGCAGGAGATGTGATGTGGTGTGTTTGCCTGAAATGAGAGCAGAAAGAGGTCATCTTAGAAACGTTTTTATCGAGGAAATAGTGTGCACAAATGTGAATCCTATCTGGATAAATTGTGATTTGATAATGACTTTGTTTTATTACCAAATAACTGCCAAATGAATGGCATCCCTATTATCTGCAGCTGTACATGTGGTTAGTGTGTATAAGCAACATATTAATGCACTCATAGTGCAAAAATAATGTCACCACATAGCAGCTATGCATTAGCATGTTAGCATTGTCCTTCTAAATCACAATAGCAAGCTAAGATTAGTATTCAGCTCATATTACAATTAAAATACTATTTAGACTGTATGAATGAAATGTATTTTACACATGCAGCCTTTGAAAAGAAGACATAACTAAAGTATGCTTTATTTTCAAGCTTTAGGTTGAAAGTAGGCAGAAAACTCTTCTGGTGTTGACAAGTTATGAGGGAACTGATTTTTTGTGGTGATTAGTGGCATTGTTTCTGACCACTGATAATGTTTACCTATATATTGTTTTGGGCTCTGTCAACCTGCAGTTGTCATTCGACACAAAATCTATTAAACACATTAATGTTTAAGTAAAAAAAGTATTAAATTGAATTAACTTTTCATTTATCTCATCTCCAGAGAGGATGAAAAGGGCTTGAACATCGGCATACTGGACATCTTCGGCTTTGAGAACTTTAAGAAGAACTCTTTCGAGCAGCTCTGCATCAACATCGCCAACGAGCAGATCCAGTTTTACTTCAACCAGCACATATTTGCTTGGGAGCAGGTAAAGGCTTGGCCCAGAATCCATCTAAAACTGCCACTGAATTCAACGAATGCTCTCTGAGGGTTGAGTCCTTCCTGGAAAGCACTTTCTATGCATTTTTCACCTTGGTACTACCTCATTTCCATATTAATAGTGATAACATGTCACCATTCGTCTCTCTGCGCTTTTCGAGAGATAGCGAGGGGTAAAATATGCTGCTGTCTTTATTTACGGGAGAATGAGGATCGCGATTCTCCCTTTGTGCCGTCTCGTGGGCGTGTTTTGCCTTGGGGGGGCAGAGAATGGTTTGCTAATGTTAAATGATTTGGTCTCACCCATGGAGAGGAGCTATAAATTATCTACAACGAGGGTCAATTAGGAGTTGAAGACAGTTAGCGTTTGACTTAATCTCACTCCTGGGTATTGTTGGCACCAGGCCCAGAAATACATTTGTCCTATACTTCTACCATATAGACAAAGCATAGGGGGAATTCTTGGGCTATGGCATTAAAAGCATTACGCAACTTCTCTCATTTACAATGGAGCAGATTTCAATGTTTACAGTATCCACATGTGTGCATGACAGATTTTCTCATGTGGATCGTTTACTTCACAGTTTGTAGGTCTGGCAAGAATAAGCTCGCTGATCGGATGTAATTTTTCACATTTTGTCCTTTTCTTCTCTGACTAGAAGTCTCCAGTTATGTTGATGAGTCATAGGAGCTCTGAGTCAGTTAACCTGAGGTGATCAGGTTATCTTAATATACACTGCAGCCCTAAGCCCAGTTTGCCCTCATGGCCAGATTTATCTGAAGGGGGGAAGGGAATTGTGTCACCAAGTACAATATACCGCAACTAAGGGACAACTCTGTTCTGTTATTGTTTGCTTGGTAATGACTTCAGATGTGTACATTATAGGCTTTGTGAACAATCAGCATGACATAAAGAAAATACAAAATAAAAGATCAGAAAATGGCTGTTAAGAATAAAAAATGTATTAAAAAATACACATTGCTTGTCAAGTTTGCAAACAAACAAACATTTTATATTGTGAACATGGCTGTAAGGTAATACCCACACCAAGGGTAAATGTCCCACAGACCCCCCTGATGAAGGGGGGTTAATTAATGTTTATTTACAAAATACCACAACAGTAAACAGTGACTAACAAAGTATGTAATTGTGCCCCAATGAGTCTATTTAATATGTACCCCCTGAGGCTCTTCATGTGGTCCAGCTGGACGCTGGCAGGATCCGCGTCTTTTAGCAGGGCTTCAGCATTCTGAAAAGACACAATTACACATTTATTTACAATATACAGTAGAAATTCATTTTACAAATGATTTCATGTCCCAACCTTGTGTGACTTTAAGTTGAACCCACAAACAAACAAAAAGACTCAATAAAAAGGCACTTTTAAAATATGTGCTTTTAAAAACATTAATTTTCATAATTTTTGTATCTGAAACACAACATTGCACCATACTTATGTTATGATTGTCTTGCAGAAAGAAAGGACTTTAACCAGATATGCCATGTCTTTCCAGGATGAGTACCTGAATGAGGAGGTGGACGCTCGGATGATCGAGTATGAGGACAACAGGCCCCTCCTGGACCTGTTCCTGCAGAAGCCCATGGGGATGCTTTCCCTTCTGGATGAGGAGAGTCGCTTCCCACAGGCCACTGACCAGACCCTCGTAGGTCAGTGTCTCCAGATCATGATTCTTGGCCATCTGTTTTGGGAAGGATTCACTGTATACTGTACAACCTTTATTTGCACAGAACATGTGGACTTCGCAGTAACACTTTTTGTCATTTGATCTCTCATGTCTTAGTAATGTTCAGTACTTAACAGCCATAATTTGGGGCTTTTGGGAAAATATAATTTAGGAAACAGACGTTTTTAGTTGAGCACATTGTCAAAGACAACAGGCTGTATTTCATACTGAAGGTTATAAAACCACTTTTAAATAAGTAAATATAATAGTAAAGCATACTACACTTGTGAAATCATGCTGACATCATATTGGTAGTGGTTTTGGGCAGGGTGGGATTTTCACGGCATGGCCGTCGTAGCCCCTCGGTCTGGCCGTTATGCCCCACAAATAATTGTACGTCCTACGGCCACCATGGCCTTTGGGCCCCTCACACTGTTAAAATCTCGAAGTTGCTTTAAAAGCATCAGAACAGTGGTTTCTGAACTGCATTATGCTGCGTTCACAACGGACGCGATGCGAATATTCGCATTGCTCTAACCGCTGAAGTTTCACCGCATCTGTCAGCTGTGTTTACTCCTGTCATTCAAACAGGACGCGCTGGAGAGGGGGCGGGGCTTATATCCATGTAAATACTGTGGTGGAAACCAACTACGACAACATTTACCTATTTTACCGTGATTTAATTGTAATACACGTTTCAAAATGATGCCGAAGTAACTAAATACTGATAACGGTTAGTAAAAACCATGCTTTAATGCTTTGACAAGTCTGCAGACAAGACGACAGGCGAAAAAGCTTTTAAAATGCGTGTTTTCTGAATGGAGATCGGATCGATCAGGCTAAAGCTAAATTAACGTTGTAGCTGCTCCGTCCAAACTCACAACAACGTCCAAAAGACAGAATTAAAGCAGCGACTGTATTCGCCATGACACAGACAGTCTGTGGTTTGTACATGTTTAACTTTTGTCCAGTTTCTGAACAGATATGAGGAGCTGTGAGGAGTTGATTAAAGAGACTCTCGTACACACGCACGCACGCACGCACGCACGCACGCACGCACACACACGCGCAGACTTTTGCATTTCAAAGTATTGCTTGTTCATACAGTTGAATGTTGGAGCTTCACTGTGCACTGCTGAATGATGTATGTGTATAGGCCTATATGATGATATAATGTTTGACATTATTGATATTAAAAAAGTGATTTGTTTTCCATGTCATTCGTGTGTTTTTCTTATCAGAAAGTGAAGTTGTTTATTTGTAAGCTCCAAATCCTAATTTGTCCCTCAATGGCCTTTGTGCCCTGGCATGTGGCCTTTGTGAAAAAATGTGTGACACCAAAGAACAAATGGCCTTGCCCCTAAAATAACGAAAATCCAAGCCTGGTTGTGGGGTTAACTATGTTATATTTCATTTGACATTTTAGAAAAATTTGAAGATAACCTGAAGACCAAAAGCTTCTGGAGACCAAAGAGGGTGGACCTTGGCTTTGGTATTCACCACTACGCTGGAAAGGTACTTGATATTTGATTTAATAATATGTGTGCACAGAAGCTTTATTTCATCTAACGCTGATTAATATGAGTTTGCTTTTACATCATTATTCTCCCTCTCTTCCAAATTCTAAGGTGATTTACAACGCTGCAGGCTTCTTGGCCAAGAACAGAGACATGTTACCAGCCGACATCGTCCTGCTGCTGAGATCGTCAGAAAATGAGCTCACTCGCAAACTTGTCACCCATCCGCTCACCAAAACAGGTAAAGAGGAAAGGAAATAGGGAAAGAAAAAAGGAGGAAGTTTGTTTGCAAACAGTCTAAAAGCAGCACTTAATACATACTTAACATAAAACAACAGGATATTGTTATCTATTGTAGCAAAGCTTTCCTCTCTTATCCGCCAGACTTTGTTTCATAAACTGTTCTTGGCAGTGAGAGTGCGTTTTTTTTGGCAGAGCAGGCTGCCAGCTCTGTCGGAATTGAATCACATAATCACTCTTTTAGTGTAGTCTTAAAGCTGTTGTTTGGAGCGTTTCACTCTTAATCAACAGTAACGCGCTTAAACGGAAATACTACTGACCCCTTTGCTATCTGCTCCATTTATCTCAGTTTTGAATCACCATAAGTTTCATCTTTTTTAAGATGTTCAGTATCACAGGACATGTTTCACCTCACTAATTGATCCGGACAGATAAGAATATGCCGTCCTCTTACTGTGAATGATCCTTCAATGTATATCCAACCCTTGCCTGGTGGTTAAGGGCAGTTTTTGTTAACTGACTCTCATGCTCAATTTGTTTATTCCGCAGGCAACCTTGCCCACACCAAGGGTAAAGGCATAAACACAATGCGCAGCCCGCGGACCCCGTCACGCACCATCACCTTCGCCAAGGTACTAACAGCAATATCCGCATTATGCCTGTACTATCTTCCTCATCAAGACCTTACCTTGACAAGTTGTTCAATCTATTTTTTCTCTTCTTACTGCCAGAACTCAAAACTATTTTTTAATTACAATCAAGCCCCTTTTGTCTTTTGAATGTTTTAAACTTATTTTTACTTTGATTATAGCTTCTCCTTTTCTAACCTTCGGTGTCTTCTTTTCTCCCTGCCTCTCTGTCTCTGCATTTCTGTTGTAAAAGATGGGAGTGCTTACTTTATACAATTCCTTTTCTTTCAATGAGGTAATCAACATATTTAGGTAGTTTGTTTTTGTGTGTGTCCAGACACCTTTACTAACTTTAGATCTCCTAAACTGTAGAAAAATACCCAACTGTAGTGGTTTGTATTTTAAATTGCTCACCCATAAATCCTGTTGCGTGTGTAATTTTGCTCCTGCATGTGTGCCACCTGTAGACACTTCCCCATCTTCATGTAGTCCTCAGAATGTAGAAGCATATACTTTGTTAAACCTGTTCAAGCCTTCCTTTATATTCATTTCCACATTGTTTGTTTGTAGCTCCAAGCCATATTGTTGGGGTTTAACGCTTCACTTTGGGTGTCAAAGCACTCATGCTGAGTATTTAAGTCAAATGAATGGCATAGTGAATCCACATTTTTCAAGTATTGCAACTCAAATGTAGCATTTAAATCATTCAATAATCAGCCACAGTTTATAGCCAATGGGAAAATCAAGACACACACACACACACACACACACACACACACACACACACACACACACACACACACACACACACACACACACACACACACACACACACACACACACACACACACACACACATACAGATGCTGTACACAACTGCAGTTTTTGCCAACTGTAAGGCCTGAGGCAATTTGTTCACCCAAAAGCAATTGATAGTAGCTACATTCAAATGAACTGTGTCTGATTAGTTCTTGAATCTATTTCCATTCATCTGCATATGTTAGACAAAAAGCTCATCAAAGGCTCCGCTCTTAAGAGGCACAATGAGACCTCAAAATGCTGCAAACAGTATTAGGCTGATGGCTTACTATAAAGTGGTTTCCCCCTGGGTAACAGTACTGATAATGAGGTGGCGCTTCTTAAAATGTTACGAAATACTGTGCCGGTTAATTCATAAGTTTCGGTCTTTTTTATATAGATGTAGCATCCTGTGTCATCTTCCCAAGAGCAAATGCTGTAGTATTTTTGTAGCTAATTAGAAGCACACTTGATTTGGCGCTTGTTTTATTTTTATTTATCCATCTTATGCATCTCTTTTTGCAGCCTTCTCGGAAATTAAAGCTCGACCCTGAAAAAACGGTGATTGGTGAATTTTTAAAGGAAGATAAAAACAATTTGATATCAACAATTCTATTGAAAATTTGACCCATGTTTAATTGTTAAAGGTCCCCTATTATACTGTTTTTCATCAATATATTATAGGTCTCAGATATATACAAAACATGTCTCTGAAGTGTTTTGCTCGAAATACCCAACAGATCATGCATTGCAGCATCCCATAAACCCCTCTGTTTCAGCCCTGTTCCAAAAGTTCTGATTCTTTTGGCGCTTTTCCACTGCAGGACCTAGCACGGCTTAGTACGGTATGGTTAGGCCTTGGTAGGCCAGGCTCACTTTATGCTGCGTTTCCATTACAGTTTAGAAACAGGGGTAGTAACTATAGTAACGCAGTGTAGGCGGGGCGATCGGCTGTTCGGCCGGAGGAGCGACGCTGCGTAAAACTACCGTGACGTCATCTTCAATGCGAACCACAAAACCAAAACATCAGCCGTTAGCTGTTAGCACTCAGACTGTCTGTGGCATGGCGAATACAGTCGCTGGTTTATGTATGTCTGTAGGCCGTTGTTGTGAGTGTGGACGGAGCATATACAACGTTAGCTTAGCCTGATCGATCCGATCTCCATTCAGAAAACACGCATTTTAAAAGGTTTTTCGCCTGCCATCTTGTCTGCAGACTTGTCAAAGCATTAATTCATGTTTTTTTACTAACTGGTATCATTATGTTGTTACTTTGGCATCATTTTGAAACGTGTATTACAATTAAATCACGGTAAAATATGTTCTTTTTGTTGTAGTTGTAGCCCCCTTGCCAGCGATTCTCTCTGACCATTCAGCAGTCGAGAGTGTTTACGTCACTAGTTTAGCATATTCAGCAAAATAGCTATTTGAAAAAATAGCCCTGACCCGGAACTACCCCTAGTGGAAAAACAAAAAAAAGCTGTGCTGCAGTGGAAAAGCGCCATTTGTCTGTTACTTTAGATGAAAATAAGGAGCCACTCCCCATGCCCCTCTGAGAGATATTTGGTTTAAAAAACACAATGGTGCTCTAGGAGGAGATTCAGGTGATAATGTGGGGGGGGGGTTACCTTAGTTGGTGATTGGCTAATGGTTACACAAGCCAAAAAATCGTTATAACATCATAAAGTGGCCAAAATCTGATCAGCTCATTTTCAGACAGGTTTTTATATAAATGGATCAGGACAAAAAATGGGCCAATCTTTTGTCCTTAAACTTTCAGAATCTCTTTACAAAGAGGGGACACATATTTATGTATAAAAGACATGAACAAGTGGATTTTGCACAATAGATCTCCTTTAAATATGTGACATGTTCACACTTAAGCCCTACATTAGGGCTTAAGTGTGAACATGTCACATATTTATATACATCGATTAGGCAATTTTCCTTATTCAGTCCTTTAATGTTTGACTTATTAATAAAATCTCCCCTTCTCTCATGAGGTTATAAAAGTCTGTAAAGACAAACACAGCATGCCATACATTATTGTGATATTTGACTAGCTTTTTGTCTGTTTTCTTTAGCAGGGAGAATCAGTGGACACGCCTTACCACCCGAGAGAAACCACCAACATGAGAACACAGACAGTGGCCTCCTACTTCAGGGTAAGATTTATGTATTTATTACTTTGTTCAAATTTGGTTTAAAATGTCTAAAACATTCTCAGTGTTTTTCTTGTTACCAACTTTGTTGCATAAACCCAAGCTGCTTAAAAAGATGAATTCTTCGTGTACTTTTTCTAGTACTCTCTGATGGACCTGCTGTCCAAGATGGTGTCAGGGCAGCCTCACTTTGTGCGCTGTATAAAGCCAAACAACGATCGCCAAGCCAATAAGTTTGACCGGGAGAAGGTTCTGGTTCAGCTGCGATACACTGGAGTTCTGGAGACAGCCAAGATCAGACGGCAGGGCTACTCTCACCGCATCGTGTTTTCTAACTTCATGAAGAGGTCAGCACTTAACAGAAGGATGTCGAGTAATAAATTAATGTTGCATCAAAAGGCATTTATTTTAGTGTTCATCTGATCTCTCTGACTGTTACAGGTACTACATATTGGCTTTCCATGCTGATGAGGAGCCAGCTGTGACTCAGGAATCATGCGCTGCAATACTGGAGAAGGCCAAGCTGGAAAACTGGGCAATGGGGAAGACTAAGGTTTGTAACTGTATTGTTTGAAGGGAGCATCAACACAAGCTTAATTTTGCCCTGTCAAGTTAGTTTCAAATGACCTTATTTTAACACCGGACAATTAGAGTCCGCTCAAAATGAGCAGCTGTACAATGATTTTTTCTAATATGCTTGTCATTGATGCACCAGATTAATTTGGATCTATTGAGGAGCACCATGGGCTAATCACAGTTACAAATCCCTGTTGCAACCTATGGTTTTGTTGTAATATGTTGTAATACAGGCTGGTAAAAGTGAGTGGGAGCATGCTTCCAGATCTGGCTTCAAGCCCCGATAGTCTCAATTTAAATGTCACTGAGCAAGACATTGAGGCCAACATTTACCAAAGATTACTGCAGATTTGTTTTGTACTTAAAAGGCCAAAGCAGAACCTAGTTCTCTCACTCTGTGCAATGGCTTCCCAACAACACTCACATCAAAATCAAGCCTGTGTGGAGTTGTAGTGATTACACAGTGTTATTATTATGACCCTAAATAATAACCATGAAAGCCTTCGCAAAGACAGGCCAAATGTATTGTACTACATTGTACTAAACTCCAATGTATTGCAAAAACCTACCATCTGAGCTTGAGACTACTTTCTCTTTTCAAGTGCTTTCTTCCACACCATCTTGACTCACATTGTGTATTATAATTAAGATTGAAACTTGTAGCTAAAGCATTAGTTAGTTTAGTTGTAAGTAAAACCTAATTACTATGTGTCTCTACTCTCAGGTGTTCCTCAAGTACTACCACGTGGAGCATCTGAACCTGATGGTGCAGCAGGCCACTCATCGGATCATCCTGCTCCAGGCTTACGTCCGAGGCTGGCTGGGAGCCAAGCGATACCGGCGGACATTAAAGGAGCGAGAACAGAGTGCTCTGGTGCTGCAGTCAGGTTAATATACACTCCACTTGTAGAACATGAAGCAGTTGTTATTACCTTTCCATGGCAATTCATGTTTTAATGTTTGTTTCCCATTCTCCAGCTTACAGAGGAAATAAAGTTCGCAAGAAGGCGGCCGGCGACAAAAGCAAAGCCAAATTTGAGGCCTTCATTGTCCAGTTTCAGGCTGGTAAGAACAGGATCTAATCTATCCGACACATTCTAAGCTCAGTGTATGTTGCATTGGCTTATGTTCCCCTTTTCACCTTCTTCAGTGTGCAGGGGCTATCTTGCAAAAAAGAAATACAAGGAGTTGGTGGATGAGAAGAACAAAGCTGCAACCAAGATTCAGGCTCGCTACCGAGGACACAAGGAAAGGAAAAGCTTCAAAAGAAAACAGTATGAGAGATATTATATTAACATAACATAGCTTGGAAAGAAAAGATGTTTATTGTTTTGTGATACAAATGTACCCATTTTGTTTTAAGGGAAGAGAAAGCAGAGAAAGCCCTTAAAGAAAAAGAGGAAGAAGAAGCAGCTAAGACCCCCAACGGAGAAGACTCCACTGCTGCCGTCAACGAAGCAGGTAACGAGGAAGATGAAACTAAAGCTGCTGTGGTTCTCCAGAGCAACTTCAGGGGCTACAAAGAGAGAAAAAAGTTTAAGGAGAGAAAAAAAACAATGGCCGGGGCTGAATTAGAGTCGCCACTTGATGCAGTGGCGGAAGAAAAAGTTGGGCAAGAGTCTACCGGCAAAGAAGAGCAAGAGGGAAAGACAGCTGAGGAGAATGACGACGAGGAAGAGAGCACGTATGAAGCAGAGGAGAATGATGACAGCGATCACACACAGGTGCCGGAAGATGATGAAAATTCAGAAATTGCAGATGTAGCAATGATTGAAGTAGCCCTGTCAGAAGATGCTGGAAAAGAAGGGCAGGAGGAGGACAAGATGGAGGAGAATGAAGAAGAAAACGCTGCAGGAGAAGACGCTGTCAATGTGGAAGAAGAAACCAAGGCTGCCACTGTCCTCCAGAGTAACTTCAGAGGTCACAAAGAGAGGAAGAGGTTGCAGGACGAAGGCAAGATCCCAGTTAGGAAACAGAAAGCAACAAGTCCTGCTGGTGAAGAAGAACATCCCACAGTGAGCACAGGAGAGGAAGAGGTGCAAACTCCAGCAGAGGAAGTATCAGACAAAGAAGAACCCAACGAAGCTCAAGTTGCTGCAGACGTCAAGTCAGATGACCAAGATGAGGCCAAAGCAGCAGTGGTGCTCCAGAGCAACTTCCGCGGCCACAAGGAGCGCAAACGACTCGAGGAGGAAGGCAAGATCCCGAAGAGGAAGAAGAAGGAAGTAGAAGAGCCTCCGAAGGAAGAACAACAGGTAACGCCAGAAGAATCAGTGCCAGAATCCCAGCAGGATGCTTCTCCGGAGAACTCGGGGGGACTGGATGAGGAAAAAGCTGCTACAGTCCTCCAGAGTAACTTCAGAGGACATCGGGACCGAAAGAAGCTGAAAGCAGAGAGAAAGAATAAAACAACGGAAGAGTCAGCGCACGATGCAGAGGAGGACACTAAAGAGGAGGCAGAGGAAGAAGCCCTGGATGTTGGGGACGTGACGATTGAAAGGAAAGACGAGACAGATGCTGAGAGAGAGAGGCTGGAGGAAGAGCAGGCCGCAGTGAAGATCCAGAGCAACTTCAGAGGGTACAAAGACCGGAAGAACCTGAGGGCCAACAAGCAGACAGCACAGACAGAAGCTGCACAACTAGTGAGCTTCTCCAAAGAGGTATAATTATTAAACATTACTATTATTCTGTACCCACCAATCATCCTTTTATCCACTTACATATTCCCTTTTTATCAAATCTCTTTAACAGATCGCAAAGACTTCTCAGGACTTCATGTCGCTGCAGCATAAGTTAAATGAGATCATCCAGGCCCATCAATCAAACCCAGAGAACAATGGCATGTTTGTGAGAGGAAAAGCGATGAATGGCTATCCTCCTCAGAATCAACAATCAGGTAAGATAATTCAGAGATTAGCTCAGGAAAGAAAACACATCATAAAGCAATAAATATAATTCAAAAGGATGGCGCGGATTGACCCGAGGTTAATTGTTCATTTTTGGTTGTGTTAAAGCGCTGAATCGTCAGATAATTGAAGAAGACAAGGGACCTGTCTAGGGTGGACATGTATCTATTATTTTTTGTCTATTCATTCTTCAGTGTTTTTCCAAGGGTTATCCGTCAACGGCTAAATGACGTTGATACACATCCACCCAGATAACCCAGAGTGCAACTGTGTCATTTCCTGCTACACTGAAAAGAAAAGAAAGGATCATCTAAAGCAGTGGTGTCAAACTCAATTTCATCGCGGGCCACATTCGCATAAAGGTTGAACTCAAACGGCCGGTTGTAACTATATAAATATATAAAATAATGTATTATATTACATTATTACCTCTGAATTGGATTATTATCGGATAGGATAATAACTTAGTAATTAACTACGTCTGAAAGCAGAAGTCCAGGGCAAATGATTGCAAGTCTCTTCAGTGCGCATGTCACAAAACGAGATGCATTGTGGGACATGTAGTTTATGGACAACCTGCTTCTGTAAAGTGGCATGTAACTGTATAATAAACGTATTATATTATTTGCAAGCTCTTGCGGGGCCACATAAAATGAAGTCGCGGGCCGGATTTGGCCCCCGGGCCTTGAGTTTGAGACCCCTGATCTAAAGCCCTGTTTTTAAATATCCAGGATTTGAGGCAGGATGAATTACTGCTTTTTCCGGGTTTTATAATGTCAACGTTAAAGCTATGTGGTCCCACACTGTACTTGTTTTCTTTATGCAACAAGAGAAAAAAAGGGATCAGAGATTTTAATAACGTCTTGTAACAGACTTTGATGTTATCGACGTCCGCCCCTCTCTTTTCTCTCGTATGGCTTGATTAGATCAGGAAACCTGTGAAAGTCAAGTGCCAACACAGGACGCGCTTCTCAACCAAATGTGTCATCAAAAATAAAAGTTGATTTGCCCAGGCGATAGGTGTAATTGCTTTCGGGGTGGTGAGCGAGGGGAGACAGCAAATTGAAAGTTCACCGTCCTAGCAAAACGGAACTGGCAGCTGTAATGTCGCCAGTATCGTGGTTTCAGATTTTGAGAAAATAATGTAATAATGATGTAATAATACAAATGATTGCCTTTTCTTAGCTGGCATCATGATTATTCTCCAGTTAATTCGATTTTCAGTTGCCATTTTAAGTGGTATGTGTGCTGAATTGCATCTGTCTGATTCTCAGCATTTAAATACGTTTTGTGCATGATTTGTAATGAAAACTCATAGTAAAAGTTGCAATCCCAACTTCATGTGGAGTTCACTTCCTGTCACAGACAATTTTGAGTAACCACAGTCTTTCCCTAACCTTAGCCAATGGGTTTAGGTAAACCTAACCATAGCTGCTTACAAGTTCCCAACCTTCTAAAGTCATCATTGTGAGTAGAGAGGAGCCAAATTATGTTAGTTACACATCTTAATCTTTTTATAATGTTTTATTACATCAGCCAGCAGGAGAATTGTACAATATCGCAGGTAGACAGGCTTAGTTAAAGGGGCCCTATTAAGATTTTTGGGGTAAAAATCCCAAAGTAACATGTGAACGTAACATTCACACTTCTATTGGCCAAAACTTCAACACATTGTACGTGATAGGCTAAGGGGCAGGACATCTCTTGACCAATCACACACAGAGACGGGAAGCTAACCAATCAGAGCAGAGTGGGCTCTGGTTTCAGACAGAGGGTGAAAAGAGGTGCTGCAGCACAGGCAGTATGAGAAAAATAAAGACCTTTTTGAACATCAAAGTAAGGAAAAATACAAATATGAGTCTGAACATTTGCATAATAAGCTACATGACTTACATGCAGTTGCAGTTGTGCGTTTAGATGTACTTCTCCCTGATTTAATTGTGATTGCCAAAATAGACCTTTGTCTAAAACATTGTACACACATTACTTCACAGAGAGTTTCCAGTAGAGTACAGATGTTGCTTCAATCTGGGCATGTTTGCCCTTTACATGCTTTTCTTGCACAGCACACTGCCTGAGGTAAAGCAGAATAAATTATCTTTGTTATTTCTAAGGGCTAGTGCGATTTCCTCATAAATTATGCTTCTCAGCCCCTCTTTGTCATTTCTCCATTGACAGTCCTAAGCTGTGCATTTCATTGCAACAATAAACCTCATCAGAATCATTTGTGTCACTTACAATGAAAGCAGAAGAAGGCCAGTCACATTGTTCTCAACGGGAAAGGTCGTCAAATGTTAATCACGTTATGTGGGCAAGCGCTTTTCAATCAATTATTGCAGGAATTAATAAGAGGGTGTGGGAAATTGGCTTTGGTTGTTTGAACAATACAGAATGACCTTTTTAGATGCAGTTGTTCAATAATATTCCAAACTTTTACACCTCCTACCTGAGAGATTCTGAACATGACGGATGGCCGAGTGTTTTCCTCTTGCATGAACAGTGATTAATAATAAGCGACAAGCAAAGGTCATTGTAATATGTTGATAATGGCAAAAACAATCACATGCTCAAAGAGGAACATGGTAACAGTATCAGCCATGACATGTATGATGGATTGCAACACATCCACTACTGTATGGAGGTGATGTGCATGAGAAGTGGCCCAGCGGGACACAAACACATCTCTCTCTTTGTGTTCAATTCAACGCGGGTCACAAAGTTATTGGATGCTGTTTGTTGTTGTCAAAGGTTGACACGTAATCTCTGTTGGAAAATTCAAACTGGACAAAGGCCTTAGGGTTAAACTGCAGTGTGTATCTCCATACACACTGCAGTTTAACCCTAAGGCAGTTCAATAGGAACAACAAAGTCATAGGTCACTGTGGTGTAAGATCACACTCAATAGTCTCTTTCCAGCCAGCCGTGTATGTAATGATCCCACTGACTGTTTGATCATGATGTGCTGCAAAAGGGAACACGATGACCAAAGATGATATACGTTCAATTTACTGAGCAACCCCTAACACTAACAGACATTTTTATTTTTATTTCATTTTCCCATCCTCCTTAAAATCCATTCACAGTTAAATAGAATAGGTAAGTTTACATCATGTTGTAAAGGTCAAAGATTTCTGCAGATATTAGAACCGCATTACCACTTGAGCAACTAAACATACTAAACATTGCAATTTTGTAAAAAGGAATCCACATTTTGAAGAACGACCTCCCTGGTAGTCTACAGTTTTAAGGTGGTATTTATGTATCCCAACCAAAAATGTAACATTTTATGCGAGAAAAAAAAAAAAGATATCCTTTCCAAATGTATATTATACTTAAAAAGACAAATTATTGTCATTGTATCTTCATTATACCTTTGGATAAGTGTAAACATAGAAGCAGATTTAACATTAACCAGACTTTTCTAGTGCCAAAATGATAAGTCATTACCAATGCAATGCAAATGCAGGCCATTCATAAAGTCTCAACAAAGATTACAATTTTTGAAATGTTGTTAAAGGCAATTAAGTAAATTAGCAGGTTGAAGGTTCACGTTCAAGGTAAGTCAAAACACTTCCTTAGAGTCTGCTATAAACACAATAGTTATGGTTCAGTTTCCCTTCAGTGTCCATTTATTTGTACTCTTCTGAATCCTTACCCAGCTACTTTTACCAACACTCAACATAATACCACTGTCTGATGTCGTTAACAGACTATGTTTATTTTCAGCCGAGAAGAGACAGTCGAGGACCCCCCGCAGGACCCAGCAGCCAAAGACCCTCAACACTCCGGAGGACTCCACCTACTACAACCTAATTCATGTGAGTCAGAAAAAGATGGAGAACGATTTCAGATATCTGCTACAACAAGGCTCTGCTGGCAGCTGCCACAATGCACTATTGATCTACAATTATTTTATTTTTGTAATACTCCTACTCCATTGCAATATACATAGATCAGCCTATCACAAAGTGGTCCCAGAGTTTCTTTAGTACATTCGATTAATCTTCTTCATCAGTTTGTTTTTCAATGTTTTTTATTCACTGTGCTCTTTATGTAATAATTGGTAATGTTCCATGATTTCAGGTAACAATAGCTCAGCACAGTTTTGCAGCATTTAAGGTTTGTTTACAGTGCCGTCAGTTTGTTTGTTTGTTTGTTATTCAGTTGTATACTGAGTAATGCATCTAATCAATAATCGAATCAATTAATAAGAAGTATTATACATTTTATGTATTATACTCACTCGACACCAGCTTGAGTTTCAAAATCAGGATACATGTATTTATTATCCTTGCACGATCTTTCTAACAATACTTTAATAACATAAGTAGACAGACGATAACTTGATTACTTCTTAACACATTTGATCCAAAGCGAATAAGATGTAAATCAGTGGTTCCCAACATTGGGGTAACAACCTATCAAAGAGGCATAATGAAAAAGCAAATGGATCATAAGACAATCAAAATGCTAATATGCTGATGTATAATGTTTACCATGTTGACCAGCTTGCTTAACACTAGAACCGCCAGAGATTTTTTATACCTAAAACCGCCACCTGGGTCAAATTGACCCGCTATTAGAATGCATTGATTTTCAAGGTAAAATGTTCTTTTATTGAACAGAGAGTTTTGATTGCACAGGGATGAAACGTATACCAATATAATCTGTGGACTCTCAGGGCTCGACATTATAAATGGCCCGCTGGGCCGGAAGCATTATTTAGACACCGCGGCCAGCATAACGTACTTTCAGTTTCAACTCGCCCCACAGCTGTTTGCTGCGGAGCCAGTGCGAGCAGTCTCCCGTGAGCGGGAGCACACTCCTTCACTACAGACTGTCTCTATCTCTCTCTCTCTCTCTCTCTCTCTCTCTATCTATAACTATCTATCAATATATCTATCCATCTATCTCTCTCTCTCTCTCAATCTATCTCTCAATCTATAAGGAGGAACCGCAGTAGACAAAAGGCGTTGCTATAGCAACACGTCATGTTTATATGAAAAGGGGTGTGGTCAATATGACCCGCTTGGCGGAAATAGGTATAAATGGCAATTTTTTGGGTGATTTCTTCAATCTGACTTCATATTGACCATTTTTAACAACAGAGGGTGGTACATAACACACTTTCAGGAAAAGTCACAGACTGGGAGACTTTAATATTTTATTGAAAAAAAGTTACATCAAATATAAAACAGCTCGGGGTCAAATTGACCCCGTTGGCGGTTCTAGTGTTAAGCATCATAGCCTTCTTAAAAGCACAGACACAGTACAGCTGCAACTGATGGAAATGCCATTCATTTTAGAGGTTTTGAGCATAAAGTATTGGAAGTATTGTAAAGACTTTTTTTAAATTAACGAATGGTGGCGCAAACTAGAGGAAAGCCAGTTACCAAAAGTAAGCATTACCTTGTTAGATTTACTCCAGAGGAAGACATGAATGCCTCAACCACAGGATGAAGGAAAAGTCTAGGAATCCGTGAAATCCTGGAATGTCTATAAAAAAAAATCTGCAATCCACTACTTTTGAATCATTAATCAAAAATAGTTTTTAACTTAATCTAATCAACCTGAATGCAACCTGTAATGGGCCTGTTCAGGGGTTACACGCCATACGTTTGGGAATGATTACTCCAAAAGCACTTTCTTTTGTTTTACCTAAACACAGCGACAAGGAGTTCTTGATTGACATGTAGTTATCTGTCTTCTGTTTGTCTCTACACAGCGGTCCGTCCAGGATGATAAACGCAAGCCCAGGAAAGAGGAGTGAGTAGCAAGTTCTTATTTCAACCCTCTATTTAACAACTTCAGTCTTTAAGAGGTTGGCTTGCTGCCTGCCTGCTTGGCACACAGAGTCAGGAGTAATGACTGAGCTCAGCACCAACATAAGGACGGCGTCTCTGGGTCCAGACTTAATGATCTGCTGAATAACACACATCCTCTGTGAAATTAATTACTATCACCTTTCACCTTCGTTACACTTGCTAAATACACTGACATGTATTGTTAGGCATCAGACATGCTTGGTTCAGCAGTATGTAAGGTATCTTATATATATATTGCTATTAAAAAGCACTAGAAAGCCTGTGTGGATGTGTGCTCTCATGCATATGCTAGTCATATAGGCCACATAGTGAGTGTACCACCCAGAGTGAAGGGGTGCAGATAGACTGATATGGCTTTGCTGAACAAGAAGAGGCGTAGGGTACTTAATCACAGCAGTCTGAAAGGACACACACACCTCACACACCGTGCGACACAGTGCTAAACATCAAGGGTAATCATTTGTTTGCAGATAAATAAAGCCAGCGATGGACAGGAGCAGTTTACATGCATCATTAGGGAAGAGAAGGTCAGCAGGAAAGATAGCATCTGTGGCTAAAGCTGACAGCAGGGGATGATGGGAAGGCGTGGGTGGTACCAGGAGAGGAAAGGAGACAAAGGTGATGATTAAATAAATTCTGCAGTCGTGTTTCGGTGGCTCTCTGAGGCTTATCTAGAAACAACATTACTTTTAGCTAAATGCTAGCATGCTATAAATGTTAACAATAGCAGTGCTAAAAGTGTCATAGTTGTCAGGTAAGTTTGAGATGTTTTAGTTTAGAGTTAGCATGATAATATTTGTTAATTAGCCTTAAAGTATAGCTGAGGATGATGTGAATGTCATTACTTTTGCAGGAATTTGGTCATTAAAGGGAAAATATGCCACATTTAAATGTGTTTGTCTGTTCAGTGATGATAGTAAGTAAGTCACTTGATACAATAAATTCCTCAGTTGTGAATTTAGTCTTTTATCAAAATATGGCCTGACGCCAGTGATAGAGTGCACCTTTTTATTTAAAGTGATCCTCCAACTGGTATGGTTCATCCTGGAGGTGGGCATGGATGCCTGAAACTCATTTTATGGCAGTCATTACAACATTTGTTGGGAATATTTCACTCAAAATCACAAACAACAGCGCTGTGAAAAGATTGTCTTCTCTCATCACAATGCAAATATTGGCGCACCTCGCCCTACAATCTTTTCTTCGATAGTACTTGGTGTTTTGTTTTTCAGTATGGACTGATAAATGTTGACACTTCTGATATTGCAGCACTACAGTCACGGAGACACTGATTTCCAATAGCCATTGTCACGTATTTCAATAGTGTGAGACTTATTGATCTCCACATGGAAACTGTTTTTCTCACTTGTGTCCATATAGAGGTCAGCGTGTAGGTTCTGCTTCATGACAGCATCCCTGAAGCTGAGGAGCCTGCTGATGGACAAATTCAATATTCTTGCAAATACTGTCAGCTTGATAATTATAATCCTTTTTGTCCTTTACTTTACTTGATCTGTCATGGTCAGTTAAATGCAAGTCAATTTAAGTGTCTCAAAACATCAGGACATCGACTGGAACCACAACACATACTGTATTGTTTATTTTTGTCAGTTTATTTCCTTGTTTTTTTTTTTGCCTTTCTTATTGCGAAAGTTATTTTCAAAAATGAACACCAAAACACATTTTTGTAAAATTCAGCTGGCAAATCATTTACTTAAAGAGTTTTTTTCCCCTTCACAGAAAACAAATGAGCGTAAACAAAGTACTAGAGAACATTTGGGTCTCAAAAAGCATATTTTTATGTTGGAGATAACAAGAAATCAATAAAAACAAGAAGACTAAGGTTACTTTGATCAAATTCAAACCAAAGCTGCAATCCTTTTATGTTGAAGCAAAGGATGAATGCGTGTTCAGATGGCAAAGTAACACTAACATCCACCATTCATTTGTGAGTGTTTGACAGATAAGTAAACAAATAGGCTTTTTAAAGAAAACACATACTGAGGCTTACTACTTCAATCAAAGCAAAAATATCACAGTTGTGTGCTTTCTGAAAATATCTAAACAACAGCCTTATCAGAAATAAAAAATACAGACAATTTACGTATAAGAAATACAATGTGTGCTATTGACATATTTGCAGAAAGATGGCATTTAACTACTTAGAACAAATTGTATGAAGACAACATACACACTATACAGAAAGTATACTTTGGGGTTCTGAGAGAAAATAGATCCAGTTTTAGGCACTTTCAAGAATGTGTTGTGTGTGTAAAAAGGCTTTTTTTGATAATGAATCTTGAATTTCTTTATTTTTAAAAGTTGAAACAACAATATTGAAAAGAAAGCAAATCAGAAGAGAAGACTTGTTTGTTAAAAATGTCGAAGTCTTTATTCAAACAATCACCGAAAATAATGTTGCCTGAATGTCTGATTGACCTCTGAGTCTCTCCTCTCTAACATCCATCCCCTCTGTGTGTGCTTCAGTCCAGGGAAGCTGCTGGATGTAGAGGACCAGTACTACAGGGAGCTGTCCACCAGCAGCTCTGAACCCAGCATCTCCTCCAAGGACACGTCCCCCAGCAGCAGGCCGGAGAGGAGGAGGTCCATGGAGAGGAGGAGGTCCATGGAGAGGAGGCCGTCTGCAAAACAGACAGCAGCTGGCAGCAGACCGACCCGAGCGAGGGCCGTCACTGAACCAGAGCCTGCCAAACCTGTCGGGGACAACAGGTACATCCCTGTGCTGGATCTGAAAAATAAACGTTGGGATCTGTAAGAGAAATGGCTTCATATCTGACAGGTCATATATGTGACCTCCCTGTTTGGAAACAGCTATAAATTCAATGATCAATGATCCAGAACAGAAAGAAAACAATTCAGAGCTCTATTTTTCTAAAGCGAAGCAACAGTGCAATGGTGGTGATCATCAGGGCAAACCTGGCCTCCAATATCAATGTGGTCGATCTAAAATCTTTTTAAAGAAGCAGATTTAACTGCCTGTTTAAGCAGACACACGTATAGTTCAGTATCATTACCATTTTTTACCATTTTTAATTTTAATTTTATGACATTGGTCCTGTAACAAACGTTTTTTTAGACCTTTCTAAACCGCAACTCTTTGTATTAACAGTGTTAAAAGCAAGCATTTGAATGAATTTAGATGTATTGATATCCCCATGATAATCCAGTTTAGTTTATAGAAAATGGTTTACACAAATGAGCTGCTACGTACATGATGGATACAGAGAGATCCTGAGGCATTCTACAAATTGTATTGGTTTAAGTTAGGAATTAGCTTGTTAGCAATTGTGTATGGCAACCATGAGGTACCTGCACCTATCAGGATCAGTGTTTGTTTCTTCACAGATGATCTTTTCCCACAAAAAATGCCACACTTGCATTCTGATTCCAGTTGACAAAGTGACAAATCCATGTAGCAATTTAATCTGTTTTCCAGTCGTTCCTGAACACTGCCTGTGACAGCTCACACACACATGATAAATGGTTGAGGAAGACGATAAACAATATGAATTCTGTCTCCTGATCACGAGTCTTTTCATCTCCTTACTCATCCCTTTTCTCTTGTTCTGTTTTTCCTTTGCTTTGTACTCTGCGCTCTATCTTTGTGTTTACTCTCCTGTGTTGTGTTGGCAGGCGCTCTTTTCCCAGAATGTCCTCCACAGAGAGTCGGACAGAGGACAACCCGTACGACTTCAGACATCTACTGAGGAAGACCTCCCAGAGACGAAAGCTCATCAAACAGTACTGAACACATGACTCAATTTTTGGCAATTAATACTCATGATAAATGAGTATTTTATTCTGTTAAGTTGTGGAAATGAAAAGCATTGACGGCATTGATGAGGGTCACCACATAACATAGACAGGATGAAGGTTAATGTAAAGCTTTACCCATGACACTGTAAATGAAGGTTTTATTGACGTTATTTGTAAACTAGACATTGTTGCTTTCGCTCATGTTGCTGTTTTAATGTCCTCTCTGGTTAGTCCAATAATGTAAGGTTGTCCATATCAATTTAAAAACCAAATACAACTGTATAAAAAAAAGAGATCATGTAAATACAAATGCCATGCTCTTCAACTTGAACAAATGTCATTTGTTTTTAAGAATGTATCTTTTCAAAAAGCTGCTGAGTAACAATGTAAGAAATGTACATTCTCTTTTCTTGTTTTAATGTATTATATATTAAATTCCATGTGATGTTTATTTTTTCTTATCTTTACCATTGCTGCCTTTATACAACATGAGTTCATTTTGTGGTACCAATATGCAGCATACTTTTTTATTTTGTGTTGTACCTCACATTATTGCCATCATTGTTACTTTTCACACAGTTATTTCATTTCCATTGAAATTGACACTTACAGATCTCTGGTGGTAACAAAGGTTCTATCAGCTATCTTCACGTAGTCTGTTGACTTGAGCATTCGTCAAGATTCAAACCCCTGAGCTTTACGTGACATTTTAAAGGAGAAACCCCCACAGGAAGTGGTAGTGACATGCTGACTAAATACAATGTCTCAAAAAAACATGTACAGCCAAAACTCCAGAGAAAAACTCATGCAGCAAATAAGATTTATGGATGGTAGAAGGAAAAAAACACATTGCTGGTAGAAATGAAATTGATAGATTAAAAACAGAACTTTTAAGCTTTAAATGTATTAATATAATTTAAAATAAAACAGAAAATGACTAAGGGTTCTATGGATATACAGCCTTACAGTATTTCAATACACATGCGTCACAGTATTAGCATGGCTTTGCCAAAGGGCCCTCTTTATTTTAATAGATCCCTTGTGGCATTAAATGGTTGTTTGCTATTGCAATCTTAAATCATATCAGACGTGTGTCAGGGTGGTTTTGATGCCCTCGGGGTCCGTTTGCTCTCAATGGGTTTAAACGATATAATAAAACAGCACAGAACATAAGTGTACGGTTGTAAATTGTACCAGATAGTGTGGAATAAGTCCCTGGTGCATTTTAACTGTATTTTTACTACTTTTCAGGCCCAACATCTTTAAAACATTGCATACCATTTTTGTTTTATTTTAGGCGGACACAAATGTGGATATTATCAATCATATGATTTTCTCATTATAGGGTGAAGAAAGTCCTGATAATCATGATATTTGTATGTGCAAAAAGGCTTTGGCAATTATTCTTAATTCAGTAAATAAGTATTGAGTAATAATACTTTTGGAGTAACGAGCCCAGGAGAGAGGAGGGATCCATGCGCACTTTTCCTCAATTTGAAGCCCATCTCCTCGTGCCCCGCTGCTTCTTCCCCCGGAGGCGCGCAAATAGAGCAGCCGGTCAGCAAGAAATAGGTCCGCACCTGCCTGGCAGATGAATTAGTTTGCATTCACTGTCGTATGGAGGGTGAGTTGTGCGCGCGCGGGGGGGAAAGTGGGATGTATGGAGGCACGACGCAGCGCACTTCGTCATGACCTGAAGTGAATCACGATGGGATTTCTTTAGTGACGTTATATTTAGGTTGGGAGCAATTAGGCATGGCTCGTGCGTGCTGCATATTTAACAGCAGCTGTAGCACATAGCTGCGCACTGACACCACTTTTGGCTGCAACTCATTTTATTTTTAGTATCATTTTTCATCCAAAGCTTTGCTCCTGCATATTTCCACGGAGTGAGGAGTGCGTGGTGCGCTGACTGAGTGCGCCTGTGAAGTCAAGTGTGTGCGGATTTATCTGGGAGGACGCTCCTTTCTTATTAGTGCACCTGTGGAAGCCTGCAAGAAGAACACCGTGGACGTCTTTTGTTTTTCTTTTGCCTTTTACCACACGCGTTTTAGGTTTAGGGGCTCTGCTGCAGCGTAAAGCGTCTCCCGGATGCGCGTCTGGATTTCAGCACCACATCAGCGTTGAACAGCTCCGGGTGGACGCGTGTGGATGGGCTCTGTCTGTCTCCGTGTCTCGAGCAGCTCCTAAGTACCGGCAACAATGGCACAACAGGGCTTCTGGTCTCTTGGTGGAGATAATGCGGGAGCCAACACCGGGAATCAGAGCCCCAGCACGCGTGAGTGTTTTTTTTGTAATCTCCAAATCACCTCTGATGGACCGGCTCTAATCCCGGTGTATTGTCTCAAACCTGTGCGCTGCATTTGGTTAGAGTCAACGAATGAAAATCCAAACAGGCCTGCTTTATGTAGAGTCTTTTTTTACACATATTTTGTCATGTTTTCCCCTTCAGGGTGCAAGAATTGATCCTAAATCACTCTTTCATTGTACCTTGCATGTCGCTTTTCGGCGTCTATGTTTAAAGTTAGAACCTGCATCTATCTATTCATTCTTTTTGACTGATCCTTTATCTTTTCCAGCCAGGGCTTGGTGCCAAGCGGCGGCCTCGAAATTATCCGGAGGACTTGGATCTAAATTATGTGGTATGTTGGTTCACAGTGGGTGGGTGGGGTAAGCTATTTGAGCGACGTGCGCGGTTTTCTTTCCATCTTTTTTTTTTTAACTCCCAGCCTCGTCTACAAGGTTGTAAAAAATATCTTAATGCTGTTTTTTGTCTAAAGCTCTTCTCAATGTCGGAGAATTGGAGAAAGGCGCCGAGCCGGCCGCCAAGCAGCCGCCGGAGACAGAGGCTGCTGCCTGCGGCTGCAACAAATCCTGCAACTGCACCAAAGCTTCTGTGGTCTTCTCCGACCTCTATTCAACAGGTACAGAAGCATGCTGTAACACCGACATTAAACTCCGCATGCCGTCTCCTGATCTGTCTCATTGAGTCACAGCTTGGCCTTGCTGTGATTTATTCTGCGTAAAAAGACGTAAAAAGACATTGTTATATGTTGATGTATAGTCATTTTAAAAACGAATGAAAAACATGCAGCGTTGTACGAAAATACATTGTTATGTGATACTTGTCATTTATAGTTTACATAAATTGTCAGAGACGATCTGCGTTATTCTTTGTTCCGTCATTAAAATAGGACTTCATAAATAACACTAGGAATGAATGACATAACATGTGCTTAAAATATGATCATGCACAGTATTTAGATTTAGATTTCATATCCATAATATTCAGTGAGTTATGGTGAACATTTTCTGTACCTTGTCGGAGAGGTCACCTTCAGCAGAATGTCATGTTTTTATGTTTTCACGTCGTAGAAACTTTAACACTTTAAAACGTTGCCATACATTTTAGACCTTGTTGTTGACCTAATTGTTAAGAAATATATGCCTTTTCCCCCTCCTTTTGTATATAAATGTGACATTCTTGTGATCGTGGGTAAAAGGCCAACACAATGCATAATAATCATACATAAAAGCGGTTTTAATGGATGCTCTCAACACACAAAAATCTCATGTACTGCTTGTTTTATTTGACATATTTTATTCTTTACAGACCTGTTACCTGCCGTGGACAGTGACGCCAAAACAATGATCTTCCTGCAGGAAGTTGTGGATATTTTAATGGCCTACATCGTGGAGTCTTTCGACCGGGACACGAAGGTTATTGATTTCCATTATCCGAACGAGCTGCTCCAGAAGAATAACTGGGAGCTTCAGAGCGAGCCGGCCTCCCTGGATGAGATCTTGATCAGCTGTCGCGCCACCCTCAAATACGCCATCAAAACAGGTCAGGCCTCGGGCTGCATGGTGGGTGCATGCTGGATAAATAAGCCTGCTTCACCTGTGTAAAAACTGGGCATCTTAGAAAATATAAAATCATAGCTGCACCTTTTCCTTTCCAATATGTCTATATCACAATAGCTGTTTGTGAGATGAATAAGAAATCATAGGGGATCACACTGCTATGACATAGAAAAATGTATGCAACAGAGAATGAGGTCTTCTATCTCTATTTTATTATAAGGAATATCCCCCAACTGAAAAAAACCAAAGAAAGCAATCTGTGTGTAAAATAAATAAATGGTGTCTATTTAAAAAAAAAAAACTGGAGGTTGTCCTCCCTCTCCTCCTCCCGACCAGCAGACCGGTAAATGCAGTGACGCAGTAAATCTGGTTCACCAAGTAGATAATAGCTAATAACCACGTAGGGGCCAAGTCCATTATTCTCTCCTCTCTGACACACGCATGGGAACATTTACTGCACACATTTCATCCCAGATTTATTTTATAGATGTTATTTAAACCCCTGGTGATAAGATATCAATATATTTGTATGTTTATTTTGAATGCAGCATTCCTTTTTAGCAGTATTAGCTCCTGTTATCAAGACATTCTCTATTTTAATTTCAATCATGTCAGGTGTCAATATAACACCATACATGCATTGACAAACGTATCTGCTTATAACACACTTGAATGTTGTAATATTGCTAATACATGCTTTATTGAGGGGGTTAAAGTAAAATATCACATTGTATGTTTATATTTAAAACAAGAAATAATAATTAGACATCATTCCTTTTTTGTATTTACACATTTTCTTTCTCATTTTCAAAGCCCTCTTTATGATGTGAAACAATGGTGGGTGTGTTGATACCCTCCATTAAATTCATTACCCATGAAACACTAAATGCTTTCATCATTTCTCAAGATGATTTAAATCGTCACTGCAGCTGCATTTTCTAACCTGCAATTAGAGGGTTTAGAAGATTACAACCTCTGTGCCTTTTGCACAAACTCAGCATAAACACATTACGCTTATTTCAATTTTGCTAGATAAAATGTTCAAATTGCAGCACTCTTGCACCCTTCCTCTCCCATATTTTTTCTTTACTCCTTTTCCTCCAGCCCATCCCAGGTACTTCAATCAGCTCTCTACAGGATTAGACATGGTTGGACTGGCAGCCGATTGGCTAACATCCACTGCCAACACCAATATGTAAGTATGTGGCCTGTGCTCCATCGTGATTTTAAACGGTGATAATGATAATGACAATGAATTCTATTTCCTGCCCAGCCCAGCCGTGTGCCGTCTGCTTGTGCTGATAGCGGCTTCTTTTTTTTTTTCACTCAATCATAGCAAATGAAAAGGCTAAAATGAAAGGCTGACACCCCCTAAACTCCCACTCCCCCTGAACCCCTCCCACCTCTGCCTTTTATCCTTCCCCCTCACCCACAATCTCCATGGGGATTCAAGGGGAGAAAATTAGCCCTGAAATTAAATTCTGACTAATCTGGAGCTA